ATTCCTAACATATCATTCGGCTGCTGTTCACTAAACCGAAAAGTTATTTGAATTGCGTGAATGGAAACTGTACTAATGCATTAATCGCATTAACGCTTCGGTGGGGGTGCCGCTGTTCGTGTTACGACCCTTGTCGACCTACCACGTGAAAAGGGCACTCTAAATCCGCGGCGAACGTGATTTTAATTCGTGTCCTTTTGAGAACATAAAATTCACTGGGCACCCTCATGCATACAATACAAATAGGTACACACGTGCAGACAATGTGAGGAAGCCAAGGTAAAGATAACCGAAGGAGGACAGGGTTGATAATTTGCATATTTTTATTTCGTTACCTTTCTGAAACCGGTCTTGTTGTTGACTGTGTCTGTTAACTGACACAAGACAAAAATGTAAATAGTAGATACAGGTGCAAAATGAGCAGGAAGGACTTAGTAATTTGATCCACTTCTAAATTTATATATTTTTTTAATCTAAAATAGTCATATTTATTTCATAGTATATTTTGTACCTACCTGCACCGAGTACACGTAACGATCCATTGTTAATGGAAACCATTTAAGTTTCTTGAATAAGCGGTCAGGTAGCGTGCGTAAAATTCGTTACAAGATCTCTGTTGGGTACAGATTATCCCGGATTAACATTCCTTTCCATCGATATGGGTTCCAGGAGCGCTCCTTGGTCCTTGGTAATGTAGGACAAAGCTTTTTTCGTAATAAAACGATAGCGCCCGCGCCCAATTTATCCAATAAAACGTATGCGGGTGTCGGGCGACATCGTGGCGACTGGAGACTCATTCCACTCCCATTCCCATGCTGTTGTAATTATTATTCAGTATAACGCTTAAATGTATTAATATTGTGTGTCGGATGGTTCACCCGGCGTGGAAGCGTACCTACTGTGTACATTAATTTCATCCCTGTTACCTAACAAGCCCATCTATAGTTTACCAATTTACAAATACGTAAACAATTTAAAACATGCTAAACTATGTGGCTATGATTCATTCATTCTGAGGTATGTGCATAATGTACAGGAAATTAGAGCGTATGAATAAATTAGTAGACAAATACGCAGAGCGATCAATCTGATTCACGCATCGCAATATGTTAAGTTTTTGCTACATGAGTATGTAAATTCAATGCTAGGGTTCCAAAACAAATGGTGAAATAGATCCTATATGATACAACTTCGTCCGTCTGGATATCTGTCACAGCGCTATAGTTACTTAGATAGATAGATAGAATATACTTTATTTGCAACATACAGTAAAGAGTATACTTACAGTATTCTTCTACATAATTTAGAGTAGTTTCACATTTTGATCGTACAAGCTTTAGTACATTACCTTTTTTTCCTTTTTGTTCTTCCTCCAGTTTCGTGTCTCGTGGTCCAATTTTATAATCACATTTATTCTAAACTAAAGAACCGGTTTTAGTAATCTGAATCAACAATGTATTTATGAGAAGGTCCTTAATAGCTGTTTTATTAGTTATAAAATGCTATTTTGTATTCAAATTATTAAAATATGTTATGGGTTTTATGATTATGGAATAAACTAGGTCGTCCTAAAGTATATTTAGAATTGGTTTTAAGAGGAATATGATTAATTCCGGCACTTATAAATACGCAAGTGCAGCTATTGTTTATTGTGAATTAACCCCAAAATTCTCCATTAGTACAGAACCGTGATTTGATAGTACGTAAACATCCAGTTTAGAAATATATTGGATAACATTGTGTAGATTTTAACATCAACAAGGTTTTCTATAAATTCTTATATTTTAGTTCGAATATATCCTATAATTTTAAAGCTTCACTTGACCAATTTCTGCCCATTGCTTGAATATTACGTACAAATCGTTGCACGTAGTTACAAATTACCTACTTATGTACGTGCAATGATTATGATTTATATGATACTTGATCAACTAAACATTGCTCAGGTATTTGAATGTCATAAGGTTTCATTTGATACAATTTTATATGCATCGCATTTATTGCATATTGTATATATATAAAAGATTTCCTATACACATCCAATGTACATAAATATTCTTGTCTTTACAAGAGATCTTACTACCTTAGTAATCCAATCTATTACATGTAATAAAAATGAAACTGAATGTTTTTTATACATGGAAGTTATACGAATATAACTGTTATTACTCTTATCAACGTAATAGAACCCAAAACAATGATTGTTAGCATTTTTTACTGTACTTTTGTGGGCGCTAATTACAGAAACTATATTGTACATTAGATAAGTTTATATAGTTTTGCGTTGTATAATTATAACACGTCTGGTAGTAGGTAGGTGTCTATCATAGCCATATATAGTCTAGACTAGTGATTGAATGAAACTGCTTAGAAGGGAATCTAATAGTACTACATCGCAATAGTGGTTATTACGTTGCATCCATACTAATGTTATAAATGCGATAGCATGTCTGTCTGTCTATTAGTTATCTTTTTACAGCTAAACAGTTGAATGGATCTTTATGTAATTTAATAGATAGGTTGTATCACGAGGATAAAGATAGATAGATACATAGATCTTTTATTTTTATATATATATATATATATATATTCTCTAAAAAGCAGACAAAGTTGCAGGTAATGGTTAGTATCATATATGAGTAAGGACTCTTAATGGTGTAGCATTATAATGTTGCCGTGCAGTTTTAATGCGCGCGTTTACGTTTATTTCGCTTGTTGCATTAAAGCACGGGTATTTTCGGCGTTGTTTTACCTTAACTCAATGGCATTTCCTTGTTTAGAACTACAATAGCCTCGGAATATGTTACTTTATACTCGGAATTTAATCTATTGAATGACTCTCACTTGACAGTTATCTGCTTTATAAGTATTTATACACTAATTATATCTTTTCTTGGAAGCTACTTACAAAATTTAGAAGTGCCGAATTTACAATGCCATATCAGTTTTATATAGGATTTTGTGAGGTGTTTAATATAAACCAAGTATGTGATGTAATCCAGATTACACAGCATATTTTTTTTATGTAATGGGAATGGGAAGTTGACGGCCCACCTGATCATAAGTGGAAACCGTTGCCTATATAAATGAACAAGACAATATGTTATCATTTGACACCTGTGATACCACTCACGGTTTGCCATTCTTTAAGCTATTATGCCTATAATCCTTTTACTGAAACACAAATCTGTGTTTCATTCAACCGAAACACATCTTACATATAAAAGAAGTTGTTTGGCGAGTGAAATAGGCTGAGGCTACTTTTACAAGTCTACATAGGTTAAAACATTACATACATACACACAAACACAAAAACAAAGCTATCGAATCTGCATACAATTATTCTATCAGCAGCAGCTGCCTATTGTATGTGCGCGTATAGTGTCCATCGAGGAATGATCGCAAAATATCGATTATACAGGCTGGACGACCACAGTGTACGACACCCGCGAAAGACCGCGCCATTTTGTAACTCGAGCACGTACCTACTGATTTACATACCTGCCTAATTATATTGTATTCGCGCTTACATTCAATTCAACTTCGATTTCATGACGCAAATTGCTATTATTTTATAATCCAAAGCCCCAATCGAATCGAAATCTCATACATTTTTGAGGTCGGTTAAAAGAGATCAAATATTATGCATAATTATTATTTGAAGTAGTAAAAAAGTTATAAGTTATGAATGAATTATCAAGAAACTAATTCTTTCATGTTGTAAAAAGTATGTACTCGGAAATCAAAAGCAATTTTAGTTAACTATTTTTACTAGGATTGAATTGAAAGGTTTGGAGGACTATATGAATTTTATTATCGCATCTATTCTATTATATTTATATTATATACAATTAATTATATAATACATAGATATACGTATATTTAATACATCCAGTTTTCCTGCGAACAATATGCATGAATATCAAACTACGTTTCTGCTGAGCAGTGCATATTCTGCTTGTGGTTTTTGTCTTTTAATAATAAGACTTACCTAGTATTAGGCTTTTAGTAGTTTTAATAAACAACAGCAATGTACATGAAACAATAGTTGTAAATAAGAGTTTTATTTATATAAGTGGGTAAGTTAAGTTAATGTATTTTCAATAAACGTAGATAAAACGCCTATGACGTTACAGTATCTGTTTTTGATCTTCGTATGTCTTGATATCTTTATTAGAGCTCATTCCATTGAATAAGTAATCTTACAAGTCCAGATGTTTAGCTGTAGCGTAAAATCGACCTTTTCATTGAAATAAATGTCGAATCCGAAACAAATCTGGCCGCGGGCATGACAAATGTTTTAAATTATCCAACCCACATTATCGAATCATTCCTTTATACGTCCCTAAGTACATAACAATGGGGAGACGTTTGTCAGCGTCATGGAGCACAATTCAAACATAAAATACGTATTGCTGTTGATTGGTACATCACCATGTTTAAATATTTAAATATGAGATTCTTTATGCTGTGCATGCGTTCGTTCATAGCTTCATAACAAATGACTACCGCATTCCGTGCCCCACCACATTAATTATTCCAGTTCGATAAAGTAGGTTGATAAGTACAACTTATAGTATTGTAAGCGATTAATTATTATATATATATAAATAAAATGACAATAGATATAATTTAGTCATGATTTTATATTATATTAGTTATTTTCATACTTCGACCATGAATCATTTATTATATGCTGCTTAACTGCTTCATTATTTTGTGTGATTTTCTGGTTGAATAAATAAAAAAACCGTGATTATTTTGAATCATGTCAATAAAATAAGATAGGGGAATTCAGTTATCTAAGGGTTAATATGGTCTATGGTCTATATTACACATGCAAAAGTTGCTTAAATTATGTTGTCAAATTACATGATTTCTGGTAGTTTCCTTCACTCAGTCTTATTATGCTCATGGGTACAATTGGATAGTGGAGAAATCACTACTTGTTACATTTTTATAATCTTTGTTTAAAATTGGATTTCCGTTGTTTGTTACAGTGGGCTGAGCTTCCAAGACTTGATTGTGCGTCAAGTAACCATTGACTCGCTTCCCAAGGCACCGTTCATTCTTGGATTCGAATGCGCTGGCGAGGTCGAGCAAGTTGGCGAGGGTGTTACCAATTTCAAGGTAAAGGATATCTATTTCTCATATAGAAAACTCTACATTCTACTGGCTTATATGATATATGAAGTAATTAAATTTGTGTATTTTTTAAGGCATGCAGGTTTTGATGGTGGTATAAAAATATTTTTTGTTGCCAATTCTGTAAATCCGTAGAGTTGTGAATGCAGGATGTGAAGTAATTTAGTAGGTACATGTTGTTTTTTACTAATTATAAAAATCCGTGAAATTGTGAGTACTACAGGATGCAGATGTAATATAAATAACGATCCGGAATCCAGCCACACTTAGTAATGATGAAACTGCACTATCGTCAAGGAACATAATGGCGATATACCTATTTATTAGAAAATATATTTGGTTTCATAAATCGCTGATAGCATTATTGATTCTCAGATCTCTCCTCAGAAGAGACGAATACATCTAGTAGTTTGTACTTATACTGGATTGATGCAAGCAGCTATGCTTCACTGTCGTAAACTGTATTTAATACTTTAAGATACTTTTACAAAGTGTTAGATAGATCCTATCTCGTTTATAACGCCATCTACCAGGTTTATACATTATCTCGACTTAATATGACATTACGCTTAGAGTACATTATTTTCTTTCCTCCATATGTAAATTAGTTAATATGCGGAACTGTTTAATTGTAAAATAGCCTGTAGATCTGAATTAAATTAGACGTGAAGATAGATTCTATACAATTTCACAATTTTTCGTTCAGTGTCTCATTTCTATTCTCCACTGAACGGCAGTCTAGCCGTTCTGTAGAGAATAGAAATGTTAAAATGGTAGTAATGTTTATACTGCTATAAATTTAAATTCGTTCTTAGGTTGGCGATCAGGTTGTGGCCCTACCCGAATACAAGGGATGGGCTGAGCTGATCTCCGTACCGGCGCAGTATGTATATGCTCTACCTCCCGGAATGACCGTTTCGGATGCTGCTGCCATCACTATGAACTACGTGGTAGCTTACCTGCTTCTCTTCGAAATAGCCAATTTGACACCTGGCAAGAGCCTTCTGGTGCACTCTGCTGGTGGCGGTGTGGTAAGTGCTCATTCTTTTTTGTGACTGGAATGGCAAACAGTTTGAAGGCGCATCTGATGGAAAGTGGTAAACGTCGTCTATGAACAGTGCCACGGCTACGGCACGGCACGGCATCGTATGTGATGACCATTGCTATTGCAAAGCACTAAGGCGTCGTGACTCCATGGCCTTATTTCATTGTTCCACCGAAACACAACTTACGAAATAATCTGCTTGGCGGCTGAAATAGGTGACACAGTGGTACCTTTATAATGGACTTGAATTTTTAAATTTACCAAATCTAGAAAGGGGAAAAAAACTTAAAAAGATAGCTAGCATAAACTGAATCCGTGACAATCTTATTGAAACTCATCTTTGCATTAGATGAAATGTATGAACAGGGCAATGTGTAACACGACTCTAAAAATACTTGCAGAGTAGCATTGACCCTACAAAGCACTGTTAAGTATCCACATCTAAAAGCTTCTAAGAACTGTCTGCCTATATGTTTCTGTGTGATTATGTACTTAACGTATGCAACATAGAGTTCATAATGAGAGTGGTAATTAGCTATGTAACGAGGCTACTAATTGTCATTTCGATTGGGTGAGAAATACTTGTATATTGTGGAATCTAGTCAGTTTCCTATACTGACGTCATATGTCCTCGCCCTGGTCAATGAACTGTAGTACTAAATTATAGGTTAGGTGCGGTTATTATAATACATATAAATAGTCGGCCTGACCTTGCCCCGGCGCAGTCTAGAATGCACAGGTCAAACCGTTTTGAATTTTTTTCATTTATCTACACAGGAATTTATTTAAATTAGCATAATTAGTGTACAGTTTTTGTAAAAAAAATGTCTAATTACTTGGTTGAGTCATTCGGTGACCCAAGAACTAGAACATTCTTTAGCCAATTAATTAGTTCTATGGTTAGGCATAGCAGTCTGTATTCTAGGGACAATACCACTTAGTAAAAAAATAAAAAAGTAGGTCGATACGCCCCACAATATTATATCATATAGCATAAGAGCATTGGGTACACTACATTAGGTATTCATCGAGGGAAGAAATTAAAAAATAAACTATTGATCCTTGTTTAGCACTAAAAAGTTATTTAATGAATGCATATATATAGCATCACGTAAATAGATAGTCATTTTGCAAGCGAATGGATTTACTTCCATCTTATGTATATATCTTATCTTATAACCAACACGGGTTATACAGTTACGTCTTGATTTACTTAAATTATTCTTAGTTGAACTTATATATTGACTTATATTCTGAACCTATTTCGATAATCAATTTTTTAATCAAAGGCTGTTCAATCGACGTTTGCTTACAAACAAATTTCGATCGGATTCGGTATTTCTGCGGAAAAAACCCTAAATTTGATTTACTCATTACCGGTTTTAAATTAATTAAGAGGATCAATATTACAAATGCGTGTCACAAAATTAATTACGATTACAATCACGCACAGGGCCAAGCTGTAGCGCAGTTGGCGAAGACCGTGGACAACGTGACGGTGTTTGGTGTCTGTTCTAAGAGCAAACATGAGGCTCTCAAGGCCAACAACAACAACATTGATCATCTGCTCGAACGGGGCACCGACTACTCCAGCGAAGTTAGAAAGTAAGTAATTATTTACTGTGCCAATTACAGCCACAATTGTATGTACTGATAGTATTAGTATTGAAATGTCCTATTAGGCATTTGACTTTTTTATATGTGGACACAGAACGAACTTTTTTCGGTTAGTTTCCTCGCAAACTTGTTAAAATTTCGTTCAACGTTCGAAGCTCAGTTAAATTTACCGAAACTGTACTGTAACAATATGCTTTGGTATATCCAAATGTACAAGCTCTGCTTAGGGACTATGATGGGATATGATGCTTGGTAAAATAATTATTTTCATCTGAATATAAGCTGTAAAGAAAATGCCCCAAAATTCAATACAATCTGTTTAAATAATAATTTAGTCTAGTTTAGTGATTATGTTTATAAATGTATTGAGCGGATCACGAAGCTCCCATTTATTGCCTCAAGGGACAAATAATTAAAGTTTAATTCTGTAAGAATTCGGTAGGTTTTGTTATCATCCTTCACTTCTTCAAATATGTTTAATTATCTACTCAAATTATATTGCTCAATATGTTTTACTATATAGACAGAATAAATAAAAGATAATTCTTTTAATGGTGCACAGTAACGGTCGAGTTTAGAGTTCTATAAATGCAGGGATGAAATCATAGTATTAGAAACGCTAAAAATACATTTACTCAGCGGCCCTTCGTCTTGTTAATAGGTGCCTTTGTTTATGTTTCACACGCATTACGGAACCATTTGAAATTTTTAAATCGTTCGCATATTTGAATTATATTAAGACCATGTTATTTTTAGCATAATTGATTGTAGTACAATCCAACATTTATGTGTTTGTGTTAACATGTATTATTATATTTAACCGGCGCAATTCTATTATTTCGTTCGTTCGTTCGTTCATGTTATGGATATTTTTCATTGGTCAAGTTATAAAAAAGTGTAGGTAATTGCAGGTATTAAAAAAAAACAAAACGTATGTTGTAGATCAAAATCATAGTTAAAAGTAATCTAAATTAATAAGTCTTAAAACTGTCGGATAACTGAAGCTAGTACTTTTAACATATTAGTAGTTTTAGTAGCATTAGCTATCTTTTAAAACTAGTTAATTCTGCGACTTCGTACGAGTTTTATTAGAAATACCAATTTAACTTTTTTTATTTATGAACCCAATATTTATATTTTTCGAAATTCTTATAAAACTTTATTTTTAGAATATTGTACACGGAATAAATTATTAACAGCGCATAATATGCTTTGAAATACGTGACGAGATTTTAAATAAACAAAATACTTTGTAAACGATTTCGAGGTCCTTTATATTTCGTACAATCTATATACAGACAGTAATTTAATCTTGTCATGGTTTTTCTGAAATAAGTCATTGGCATATAATTAAAACTACAAATTTTATTTTCATTTTGGTTACTAAAGCTATTTATATTTAATTTGTTGTCAGAATATTGAAGTATAAAAACGCTCGACCATGGTTTTCTTGGAGTGTATTTTTTGAGCAAGTGTTTTTTTTGACGCGCGTCTTTGTTGTATTACTAATTTTAAGTTTTGTATGTAATGAACAAACAAACAGTCAAAATTGATTTTATAAAAAAGAGTATAAGATACGGTTGTTTAGTTTAACATATAACTAAAAAAATACACGTGCTTCCAAACGTACATTTATCTTCTAACCACGAAATACTCTCCCAGTAGTTCAGGCGTAACGTCACCCGTATCAAATAGCGAGGATGATACGCCCATCAACCTGCACATCTTAACCTCTAAAAAAACATAAAATATATTCGTGTATGCCATCACATTCTACATGTATTGTGCCTCATCCAATGATCTAAGAAAATAAAACAATAATAGTCTGACCTCTATATAAAAACCTATAAATAGACGATAACAATACAAACGGAAAACTTATTATTTAATTAAGTCATTACCCGTACCCAGTAAGAAAATAATAATTCGGATGACTATGCTGTCTAAAAATAAAGACCGCTATAATTTATATTTGACAATATCTCGACTCTTGATCCCCGAAGCCTTACTCCAGTTTCTCAGTGAATAAACCAAATTGTTCTCGATCCCGAGCTTTGTTAATTGCTGGTTATTAGAGTTACATATTTCAGTGCAAGCTTGACTCGTGTGATACAAATACCCCCAATATCAATTGATCCTCCTCAACTCTCTCCTCGCTAGTATTTGAAGGGCGAGCGAGTATTGGAGTATGGTCTGGTAGAGTTGGTCGCGTCGCGCGTTAATTGTTCGGTTTATAACCCGCTCCTTAGGGCAGCTGGTTCGTACCAGCGGCGGCGTTTAATTCTCGTAAATAGACAAAGATATTTTTATATCTGGTGAGTTCTTGGCCGCGTAAACAGTGGTACCACACAAGTTCAATGTAAATAAACGTAGGCGGATATGTACTCTTCGGAATCCAAAATATAAGAAATATGTAGAACTATAAAAAAAAATTAAGGAATGTATAACTATAATAATATATATCATATACATTTTATCACTCGTATGTAGGAATGTTTTACAAATTAGCACGGTAGGTACCTTTACAAACACTATTAAAAACGTTTTTAATTTGAATGTTTTGAAATTATGTTATTATTTTGACATGTGTTAATAGTTTAATGCTTAATTTTAGAAAATTCACATTAATAGTATATAGTATTGCAGATCTATATACATATATAGTAGTTAAATTAAGTGCACAAAAACACAATGGACTCTGTCCATAAATAACTTGAATGATATCCGTTCATTCAAACAGACGCAAATAAATATATGAATAGCCAATCTTTACGATTATGATATCAAATATAATAATAGTTCGCCACTAGAGTCCGTACAAGATATCTTTTGAAAGTTTTTATGTGGCCAGACCACATAAAAATTTCATATGGCAAATAAGCTGACGGCCCACCAGATGTTAAATGGTAACCGTTGCCTATATAATAATAATGTCACAGGACAATTCACATAGCGCTATCTAGTCCCAAACTAAGCAGAGCGTGTGTTATGTATTAGACAAGTAATATAAATATGTAAATATTAGTTTTTGTAAACACATACATAATAATAATAATAACTCAGGACAATTCACACGGCGCCACATAATCCCAAGCTAATCAACGCTAGTGTTATGGGTACACACACATAATATACATAGAAAACACTCAGACCGACACAAACACTAATACACATGTTTGTACCAATGTTTGTAAAATCACGTGTCTACAAATGTTTGTTCGTACCGTGCGAGGGATCGTACCCGCGACCATCGGAAGTTAAGTAATGCCGATTATCTGCTATGTTGACTCTAGAAGGCGCTGTGTGAATTTTCTTAGATGATTATTATTATAAATTTGCCTCAGTCAAAATGTTGGATGATGATGCAGTTGTAATCGTAGCCTTTACACGTTTACGATTGGTGTGTTTATCAGAGTGTCTCCTGACGGCGTGGATATCGTGCTGGACTGCCTCTGCGGTGAGGAGTGCAACCGTGGATACTCGCTCCTGAAGCCCATGGGCCGATACGTCCTTTATGGTAAGTCTCGTACTTCTAACTATGTAATGTATACTGTATACTTATCTGTGTTTCTAACGTATACTACTAAATGTTTACTTTAGTGTGTGACGTATTTGTAACGTGTTTATTTTCTAGTAAAACTAGAAAATAAACACGTTACAAATACGAATGAAGTATTTATAAATATAAGAATGAATTATTTGTTTCAAAACTCTCTTTATATTTTCTTAATAACTGCAACGTATCTTAACATAGGTAATATGCCTATATAATTTAATCTTGATTCAGTGAGGAATGTGTACCATTCTTTTGATATATTGTGCGTCGTGTTCACACGTTTGTAAAACAATTATGTTTTATCGCAGGTTCGTCTAACATCGTGACCGGCGATACTCGGAGCTTCTTCAGTGCCGTTCGATCTGTAAGTAACTTGTGGTAAAAAAAATAATCAACTGCTTCTTCCCTATTCCATTTATTTGGGGTCGGCGTAATATGTTTTTCTCTTCAATTCATTCTTATACATCCATATCATCTTTCACACAGTCCATTCATCTCTTTTTTGGCCTTCCATTGCCCTTAGAACCATCTATAATACATTTATATGTAACATCTTTCTTAAAATATTATCTTTATTCCTACGCATAAAACCGTTGTGGTAAAAAAAATATTTGAGGTAATTTAATAGAACATTTAATTTATAGACCCATCTTATAATATTGTAGACTGTCTAAACATGCTGAATGCCACAGCTTTTTAAAAATTACCTAATTTTCCATAAAACATTTTAAAACGTATGCATAAGTTTTTTTCAAAACTTAGTGTAAACTAAATATATACATAATACTGTTCGAATATAATTGTTGAAATGTAAGCATTGTTGTCATTGGTGGTATTTAAAGCACTGTGTTATCACTCGGACCAAGATACGATTCTTTTATTTTATATCAATTTTCGGTTTTGTATTAATTATGAATATGTTATTAATTTTGTATGATTTAATTCTAATTCTCTATTTTGAAAAACAGAGAATTAAATTATTATTTAGGTACTTAATAACCCGGTATAAGAAAAGAAATAACTGATTACATATTTTTTATTCGCAGTGGTGGCAAGTGGACAAGGTATCTCCAGTTAAGCTGTTCGTGGAGAATAAGAGCTTAGCGGGATTGAATCTGCGACACTTGCTTTTCCATGGACGCGCTGACTACGTGCGCCGTGCCGTCGACCGCGTCTTTACTCTGTGGAGCGAGGGGAAAGTCAAACCCCTGATTGATTCTACATGGGCTTTGGAAGATGTACGTATAATATCAATAATATTACCTCAATTAACTTCTTATACCAGGATTAAGTGAGCTACCAAAATTATGAATGGAAACGAAGAAGTGTTTTACCTATATATTGACTATGTATTATAGAAACTTTGGAATAGTGTTTCTTCAATTCGGTGAATGAATATCAAATCAATATCGCTTTTACCTCCGATGGTCGCAGGATCGATTCCTCGCACGGTACAGATATTTGTATTCATGAGTTTGATTGTTTGTATCGGTCGGATGTATTCTATTCATGTCTGTATATATTTAGAAAAACATCCAAGTATTTATACCAGTTACCATCAGACGAACTCTGCTTAATTTGGGACTAGAGGACGTTGTGTAAATTGCCCAGGTATATTATTATACATATATGGCTTCCAAAATTTACTAATCTTATACCAAATTCCGTTCTCTCCATTTATAACATTAGTATATATTGTTGTAATTATACTTTAAAAAATAGGTAGTACTGTTACCATATGTCACAACTTTTTGATAAATAAATATGTGTATGCTCCAATAAGGCGAATAGAAAGGAAAAAAAAACTGATACCAAACCGCTTGGGTGGTAATAATAGTTTGAGCCTCTTTTATAAGTCCTATCAGTGGAACCACAAATGGGTTATTATACACAACACACATTGTACCACATTGCAAGTATTACTCGGATGTTACCGCAAAATACATAAAACTACGTAGTTGCAGTAATTCATTAGCTATATTTTTATAGCCATATTCATATTATGACCTAAGTATAGATTTTGATAATTTTTATTTAATATCAGACCAAAGTGACATTGTTACTTTGTAATATTTAATTTTTATTATAAATAGCAACATTTTTATAAGTGAAGTTTATGAAAGATATGTTTACAATCGTTATCGCTGTTAAATGGTCAGTGATACGAGCCACAGGAAGAAATAAATTCATTGTAATGATGTTTATTATCACCGTTATGTTTTAATAACTTCATTCATTGTGTTAATTAAACACAAAAATAAGACTATGTTGCGAAATAACGGAAGGAAACCCAATTAATCAAACAATCGTACCAATAACAAGATTATTTTATTATACTAATAATTTCTACTAATTTCGCAGCCTTATCTATGTTACGAAATGAATTATAGATTATGATTTTCTTTTTTAATAGTATCTGGTATTTTTTTCATTGTATTTGTTTTTGTGGATTATATTACTATATATTATTATAATACTATTCCATACTATTATAATGAGTGATGATGATAAAGTTGAGCTTACTAATTCTTAGTGGCAAATTAATTAGGAGTTATGGTTAATATTACCACGATTTTCAAGGAGAAATTTGCTAAGATTTCAATTTGGCAATGGGGTCACTATTTCCCATTACTGACTATGTATTCACCCGTTTCCTCTCTTCTATATTATTATGCATTATGTAATTATTAAACTTACCGTTGTCATGAACGAAAGATTTGATTAGATTTTAGATTATTAAAAGTGATGCCTTGATCTCGCTGTTTGCTACTGGTATATACTATTACATGTATAATAGAATATAATAGAATGTTAATTAAAAATATAGATTGATTACGATCTACTATCACTTAGTAGAAGTCTCAGCATGTAGAGGTCTTTTGAGTTGGAATATGGCACTATATTTCTAACCGTTCCATTATTGTTATATATTTATCTGCAATGTCATCATTAGATAGATTAGATAACATATGTATTTTATTTACTTACCTTTGTTTTCTCGTTAAGGTTGTGGAGGCGATGCAGAAGATGCATGACCGCAAGAACATTGGGAAGCTCGTCTTAGATCCATCACTAGAGCCTAAACCGAAGCCAGCCACGCCTGCTAAAGGCAAGTCCGGTAAGGAGAAGAAACCAGCCAAAGAGAGCTCAGAGGAGAAAAAGGACAAGGAAACCAAGGAAGAGGAGAAGAAGCCTGAGGAAAATGGTGAGAAGAACGGTGAAGAACCACTCACTAATGGTAACAGCGATGAAGGTCAGTCTCGAAGTTTTGTGACCAGGCATGCGTAGTTGCGTAGGTGCTTACAATACAACTGATAGGGTCATTGATAAAAGTCCGCATGCTTTTAGTTTTAAGTTGTTATCACCTAAGCGTGAAGACATTTAAATTAAAACAATATATGAATTTAAAAAGAACTCTAAAAGAATTTTTTTAATTACATCAAAAGTTATTTGATGTTTTTTGAATTTTGATATAAAAAAAAAATATATTTGATCTATATATAAACCGTTTTTTAATCTTTATGGTCATTAACCTTTTATGACTATTATGCACCTAATAAACAGGAAACGATACGGGACAATGGAAAGGAATTGTTTGTTTGTCACAAATCCTACAAACAATTACAGTATTATAAATATAGGTACAAAAGATCGTATACTTAGTCATGGACATGTAGAGTACTGAACAATGTCGCAAAAGTAGTTAATACCTGCCTATTTAGAAAAAAAAATTAAGCCACAGCCATATACAGGCCTTAAATAATTTTCATTGTATGAGCTTGGGATGTGAACGGGGCACGATGCATGTATCTCTGTAGAACTCCCTCATCCCTCGGTTGTACGGTTCTACATAGGTTTATATTACAAGATTACATAAAAATGACATTAATGTTTAATAGAAAGGTTATCAAGCATGTCGGATTTTTATATTAACCCTACATTGTACGCGCCGTAAAGGTATGAATATTCCTTTTTTGCTTGTGTTTCATTTTCGAAGTAACTACGCACGCGTAAAGGCTAAACGCTAGGTTTTAAATAGTTTTGGTTTTGTAAATGAATGGTTTGCAATTTACATCATCAAATTTTTACATATTTTAATGCAGCCTTTAGACTTATTGCTTGATACTTTATTGCTACCTGCTAACGTGCCTGCAGGTTTATATCAGTTTTATTTTATAAGCCTAAAGCTTTTTAGACATATTTATATCGTAGCTTACCTATGTATGAAATTAAATTTATTTCTATGTGAAAACCCTTATATGTATATTTAAAAGTTTTCATGTACATGTATATTCAATATTCTAAACGCCTCGTAAAAGGAAGAGATTTACCGACGGTATTTTTGTTGTGGAAATACAAATGGATCAGATATATTGTTGATCTAATTTTGATGACTCTTTCTATTATCTATAGGTACTTCCGTATGTATATGGCCCACATCAATATTATTACTATTGTTAATAGTTTTTTTTTGTGTAACGATTAATATAGATATAATATAGTCTACATATAGACTTCTTACAAGGATTTAAATTTTAAATTTGGATTCGTAATTTATATTCATACCTCACATAATACCACTGATAGAATATTTGTGTGAACGTTTTTTCTACCTCTTGTTTAAAATAGGGGTGCGCGTATCTTTTAAAACATAATTTAATTAATTTTGCACGTAACAGTCAAAATATAGTTCAAGTCTAGAGGTTGCATCATAATGTATCTATGTACATCTGTTTAATAAGCTTGGTCATAAAATATCGGGTTTGAAACATAACCATTAGTGATGTCATTAGTGAGTCGTATTTACCTAAGGAATATGATTTAAATATAATATTACTTATATATAAATTTTTATTTATATATATGCTCTAGATATACAGAAAGGTATTAATGCAGTCGGAGGAATTACATTACAACTATAATTATATAAACGCACCAATAGTAACGACTGCAACTTTTCTATATTACCATTGATAAATGTAAAAAGCACGTAACGATATGTTTATTTTTTTATTTTATGTAATTTTAGTATGAATGTAATCCAATTAAAATAAATTATATAACTATATAATATGCATATTAGTTGCCACAACATTTTGTCATATTTAAAGTTATTAAAATGAATATAGTTAAAATAGTTTACTCAACCCTTTATAATATTTAAACTAAAAACTACCTCTCGCAATCACAACTCACAAACTAAGGTGATGAGCGGTTGAAATAGGTAAAGGTTTGAGTAAATCGTCATAATCGCACGAGCTTATCGCTGACATGCGCGTGCATTTTTGCATTATTAGTTAACAAAAAATATGTAGTGTTATTTTTTATATACTGTTACTACATGATATTAGATTTTATGTATGTCTTCTTTCGTTTTCCAGAGTCTAAGGACAAGGAGAAGGAATCCAGCTGAATTGTTTCCCATGCGAACTGAACCAGATAAACCACCGCCAATTGATTATTTTAGAGTTGAAGCTGCTCGTTTGACCGTCGTGAGTGCGCACGCGCGCGCGCCTCGTACCACGCCGGCGTCCGCGCCGCTCGCTAATTGTACTATGTTGCCCCATGTTTTTATTATGTTTCGTTTAAGTCTGAACACGATGTCGTTCGATCTCATATGCTTACATTCAATATTATTAATGTTTTATATATAACTATTGTATTATCTTATTACGGATCGAACCATATCGTATTTAAATATTTTTAATTATTGTCTGACGATCATCACAAATTTATTTAATTACAAATTTTTAGTTGAAAATTTTTCGATATACGACAGCGAAAATTACAATGAATTTATATTTTAATATTTTTTTATAAACATTAATTTGGCCTAAGTTAGTAATTGTTTCTAAACTTTCGAGTCTTTTATTATAGTTTAATGTTTAAGACTTTATTTTTAAGATGAGATATTTTAATCTTGCAGTTATTTTGTATGGCTATTATATATCTAAGGTGCAGAGATGCTTAATCTTTATGTATGTTAAGCTTTAATATTTTATTAGTAAATGTTTATAATTGGACCCCATGAGAACCACACCCGCCCCCGGGTCGAGCGTTCGCTCACGTCACGCATCGTCGCGATTCTTCTCCAAACAAACTAACCTATAAACAAACGAACGATAACCTTACGTGTGATATTTTGTAGTAGGTATGCTAGATATTTTGCAGTAGCTATTTTTATGCTGCCTATACATGACATATTATTTTTAATTTGAGCTTACATATACAATTATTTTATATTTTTATACTTAGAACTTTTGTACATTATTTTCTAGTTAGGATGTCAGTTCACGGAATTGATTTGAAGGCACCAGTCATTGTGTGGTACGGTATGGGCATAAAACGCGTCGTCTGACTGGAATCTGGGCCTGAACTGGACGAGCTTATTGTGTCCAAATTGTGAACTATTTTTGTGGCTATCTATAAGATCATTCATATTCAATATATTAGTCGATGAGAACCACGATATAATAAGTCATATTTTTATATACCAAACGAATGTAACGTTTACTCGTATAATAAATAACGCTTCTTGTCATCTATATAGACACAAATATCACATATCTAATCCAACATACATTTTCACACGATGTGAAGCATTAGAAATAATATTTTGATACCAATATTCACTGCATTTCTTTATTATCTACCTAGCATATATTTGTCTACATTTATTTTTCTTAAGGTTGTAAGTAATGTTTACCGCCATAATGTACAGTATGGTTATAGGTATATGTATGTACGCAGTACTATTTAAATGTTTTATCTATATTACACATATCATGCGGATGTAAAATGTATTCCTGAGAGGCTGAAAGTAGTCCGGAGCCGCCGGAATCTAAAAGATATATAACTTCCTAAACACTGCTCAAATATAGTAACTACACAGTGTGAGAACGCAACGTGTGCTCCAAACATACTTAACCCGTTTCATTCTTAGGATTTTTATAAACTTTTTACCTTTTGGAACATTTTTGATGGAGTACATTTTGCGTGAGCACAGTGTGCGTCGTCCGACCAACATTTCACAGGTCATCGTGTCCCAGTGTATAAGTATTAGGTACCGTCTGCCAAAGGTTGTGAGGTACGTAATGTAAGGTAAGCACCACAAGATCAGACTGCGTCCCCCGCGGGATGGCCCGACTGAGGTAGCTTTTGTATATTAAATTTATAACACGAGTGGCAGATGCAGGCAGGATACTACGTAAGGCGCTGCTTTGTTTATCGTACAGTGGCTTGGTGCTAGATTGTATTGTACGCGGATACAACTCGCTTCAGTGTCTCGGACCAATATCTTAAAGCTACTTTACTCTTCTTATCGGTAATCTCTTTCGCTTTGTGTGTCAAATATGTGCGAATTTCTTGTAATGTAAAACATATATAAACTCGTGTATATCGACCTGTATAATGGTTTAGAATTATAACTGAATTTTCTTCTACCTATAAGAATTTAATGATGGTATTCAATAGTGATTCGGAGGCCGCCGGTGTGACGGCGCCATTGTGATTGTGTCCAAATTGTTGTAGGTTTAGTGTCTATGAAATTGATGCCAATATTTATAATCTTCGTGAAGACTTCGAAGCGGTTTTGAGAAAGCGCCGTCACGCCAGCGTACCCTATATATTCTGGGTCGTTATTGTACTACACATTTATTTTTATAAGGGCGGGCCAGTGTGATATCTATACTATGAAATGGATAAATAAATATGTATGATCTGTAAAAATGCTTATCGACGTGTTTTATTTCATTGCCTTCCATCATAAATGATAATTCAACCCTATTTCAACTACTTTGTCTTAATTCTCTGAACTAAGTGCCAAGAACAAACTGATTCGCTTTCTGTATTTTAAATTTACATGCACAGAAAGTACTAGAAAATGAAATTAGTAAATACGTATTTTGCAAATAATTATAGATCTAAACCCTATCAAAGAAACCCTGTAATATACATAATTCACTATTTTGAATACGATTACACAGTTACGCTGTACGTTTGCTTAAAATTATTCAAATGCAAAAGAAAACAATATAATATTAAAATCGAAAATTTATTTAATCACATTTAATCTAAATAGACGCCGTAGACGGCGATGTTTGCGAATAAATGGCAATTCTCATAGTTGAACGCGGCGAAAGAATCGCGCTCGTGGTCCCACAGGAACGAGTGGAATATATGTACGCTCTGCTGCCGTCGTTGGCCGATGGTCACCGTCACTATTAGTCTGTACCTGAGTATTTTGCATTTGGTCATTTCATGAAATACATATCAGATAAATGCGAAAGTGTGTCTGTTACTCCTTTTCCGGACCTTTCAATAACTAAATGGCTGAACCGATGTAACGAAATTTGATATGTATCACACTCTCCTTGCGATACAATCAATCTTTTTATCTTAAAAAAGCAGACAATATTACGGGAAGCAGACTGTATCTATAATGTTTCTCTTGGTCGTTGACGCTACTTTGCTACAGATCTATAGTGGTTATCTCTTACGATATATCTACCTTCGACTACATAAAAAACTACTCTCAGTCATGACAAAAGAAAACATATTTATACAGAGACAAAGAAATCATCAAAATTCAATTTTAAAGACAGACAGTTACGCGAGTAGAATACCTTCGTAACCTATACAAAAAACGTAATGGCTGTCAAAATTTCCTCTTCTTGGAAGTTGATAGCATAGAAAAATAATCGGTTTCTTCTTCCGTTATAAATTGTATTAGGTATATCTTCCGATAGTATCTATATCAAGTTATCATAATCATTACAATACAACAGAACGAAATCAATAGGTGTATAGCTACGAAAAATAAAGTAAATACCAGACTCATTTCAACGTTTTCTTCTGATCTGTAGTGTCAGCACTTTTTTCTACGACAACAGCAGTAAAAAGCCGATAAAGCCGATACTGCGGCTATGAAAGGTAGAATATACATAATACTATTTACAGAAGTTGCAACATTATCTCGAAATCATGAATTTTGTTATATATTTTAGAAGGATGTTTATTTATACGGTAGCGGTATAAGGGAGGCGTTGACATTTTACCTGTTATAGTTTTCTTCTTTGACAGCATTACGTACGGATTCAGCCAAACTGAGGCAAAGTTCGGGTACTTGTTTCTCGCTATATTCAACCTCGTCCAGTTCATAGGTAACCACGCGTTGCAGTATCTTCTGCACTTGATCCGCGTCGAAACGCTTTTTTGGGTTGAGTTGGTACGTAGGCTGGTAAGTTCTGACCTAAAGAAAATTAAAAACAGTAATTAAAGAAAATTTGTGGGGATAGTTCTAAGGTGGAATTACTGGTTTTTATTGTTATCAGTATATGAATTGTTAGGAACCATATTCACTCCCTTACTAGGAATGTATCATCTCAGGTGGATCGCCACGAAGTCACATCTGGAAACCATCGTAAATGAATGTGTGACCAATGAATACGTCACGATACAAATCACAAACAACTCACACAATAATTTTACTTCATACTCATCCTATCACACTCCATTGGTCTTACCTCCGTATACCGATAACGCAGGAGGCTGTACCATACCACTTATTAAAAAGTCACAATAATTATTATCGTAGCGTGAAGTGATCAGCTCCCTTAGTTTAAATCAACAAATATGTACAAATATATCTATAATACTTAGACTACTTGTTTCGGTGGAGCAGGTGGTTTGTTTTCAGACATCTTAGTAATGAACTACTAAGTATATAGACAGATTTATATGCGCGATATTTTATCTCTTGATGTTAAAAATATTGCTTTCTCCATTAAAACAACACAGTTGTCAAGCTGCGAACCTTGTTTGATCAATAGGTACTGATTTTAGTTCCTAGTAGGTATGTTACAGATTTCTAAGAGAATTCATACATGTAAAATCATTAGCTATGTATTATCAAACAACTTTCAGAATTGAGTCTACATTAAATGTAATTAAATAAAGATATTTCCGTTTCTAAATCGTGCTTTTGTGTGTATTCCTACAAAACTAAGTACCTACTCCATAAAATGGCATACTGCTCATGTTATAACCGTGGAATAACAAAAAGCTAAAGGTGAAGCTTTAAAAGGTGGCTGATGCATGTGTACCTGTCTAACTGAAGATTATATTCCGAACCCATTGTATCTGTATATCTTGAATTTATAATACATATCTGTAAACATACATACCTGTACAGGGTTCCGGATATAATTTTCAGTGAAACCTTTAAAAAAATATATTTACTTGGCTGAAGCTCTTTAAAAAATCATACCAGTGTTTGTTTGTTACTTATAGGTCTCGCCAGCTCATTGCTTCTGGTTGAGGACCTCCTATACTCTTTAGACATATGAGATAATAGTAGGTACAACTAACGAAATATAATTTACTATAATTACGAAATTCGATATTCTGTCATAATAAAAGCCATCTAGATCCGACGCATTTTGATCTTAGGCATAATATTTCAGACAATACAAAATTAGTCCAGTTACAAAGAATGTGAGTGATTATTGGATAAAAGACAAGAAAACAGAAATGAGGAATAGATAAAGGGGAGGTGTCTTTAATGGATGATAATGGAATTATGGAACGGCCTGCGCTAACGGTATACGCTGGTGAGTCACCAGTGTTCCTACACTGGTATGGAGGATGATAGGCTGAGAATGAAGTCAGGTCAATTCACAGAAATTTATCGCGGTATTTTTTATTAGTCATGAATACCAGTGACAGCCATTTTCCTCCAACGGAGAGGTTATAAATAATATAGAAACCTACCTACCCTCAAGGTAAATTTTCTAAAGATAAAGATATCCTAAGTATATGACATTCACATGGAACGATATATTCTATTTTCTCATCCTGTTTTCAAAATTTATTTTTACACCTAAAAAGTATTCTGGATTTTACAATTTTACAATTTTTACAGGATTTTTCAATTTTATAATATGTAAAAAGAAGAACAATGAAAGTAACCTAGGTGAAGTGATTATTTGCTCAGTCAGGAAGTCAGTCGGTGTGAGTGTGGTACTATGTTATGTAAAGAGACTGATAGACTTATGGTATGGTAACCAAAACTAATCACATTTCTATTACTAACAACACAGATAAGATAATCTATATAACAATAACATGTGATTACTAAAATAAACAAAACAATACCATTAACTACAAGTAGAAATTTCAAAAGACGTAAATTATGAAAGTAGTACTCTTATTCTGTTTATAAATTAATTAAAGATAATTATGAGTCAACAATTATCAATAGATAAGTTCTTTAAAAGTTCTAAAAAACAAACGAATTCAAATATTATCAGTGAGAGTGGAAAAAATAATGTGAATAAAATGAAGAAAAATCGCTTGAGTTTAAAAAGGCCAAAAACTCCTTTAAAATTATCGAACACCACTGCAACTATGTGTAAACAGGTTTCAACCGAAAATGAAGAAGTTGTAAATTTGTATAGTGACGATGAAGACGCTGAGCTCATGAATGCAGTCGATTTAGTTGAATCTATGCATAACTCGTCTCAGCTTTCGAGCGGAGGTGAAAGCGGCACTTCTGGTTCCTCACAAAAAACTGTAATATATGATCATTCATCATCTTTTATATCGCCTAGTAAAATCCCAATTACCCCTAAAAAAACCCCGACAACATCTAACGTTCGGTTCTCTCCTACATCTGCTAATTGTTCTAGTCCAGGTTTTAATAATAAGTATTATTCCCCTACAAAAAAGAGGGCACTTTTTAAAAGAAGTCCAATCAAAAGAAGGCTAGATAAAGATTTTGCTCAAGTTACTGATGATGATGTTTATATTGAAGCATGTAAGGGTATGGATGACAAAAGTAAGTTTCAATATTTTTACCTATAATTTATTTCACCCACAAGTTTGGTAATCTAGTGTTTCTTTTTAATAAAAAAAAGACCTAACTTTCCCTTTATTATGAGTAATGTCAAATATATAAGCTTAAACTGTCAAATTACATTAGAAATACAGTAAATATTTTATTATTGTTTATTACTGATTTATAAGTCAAATTCGCAAGGTGAGTTTTAAAAATGATGTTTAATTTTAATATCTTTCAGCTGTATTTCTTCTCGATATTATCCATAGATATCTTAGCAACAAATGTTTGAAAAGATTGCTGTCGGAGGAAAGCCAGCTACTTCTTGAACAATGCATGGACATAATAAAGCCTGGAATGATGATAATATGTCGGCTGTATTGGAGAAAGGATGGCTGGTACAGGAGTAATAAACTAAAAGATTTGGCTGCAAAAGTTAGGGTTTTGGATGATATCAGTTTTCACGGGATGATCAATTCACTTGTGACAAGTGGTCTCCTTGTCCAAAATATACCTAGTGGTATGTAAAATAATATTGTTTTCAATATTATATAATCATGTGTCCATGTACACTAGTCTAGTAGTCAAGATACTGAAATAACATTGCTTTAAACTTTGTTTACATCAGTCAGTCATATTTATCAGTCAACCCACAATCAAGACAGTTTTAACAACACCAAAATATTGAAACCTCATGCATAATATTGTCAGGGTAAATATCCTAATCATATGATGTGTACATTAAAAAAAATTAATAATTATTATTGGCTATAATACTATGATGGCAGATATATTAGCAAAAATATATTTTATTCTCAAATACAATATGAACACACACTGTCTTTATGTGGCATTTGTCTAGTTTTCAATACTATTGTAATAATAACATTCTAAGAAATAATTAATAATACCAGAATTCTTGGTTAATTGAAAATAGGTATTTGCAGTAACACCATTAGAGTGAGTGTTATAAACTTTTATAACATTTAAATTTGGAATTCTATAATTCGAAATTTCAGTTCCATAATAGAAAACCGCCATTGTTAAATTTCCTCATAGTTTATATTAGAAAAAACTAATGATATAATAAATTTTATAATTTTTTTATTGTTACTATTTTCTAGTTGTTTTTTATTACAGAAGATGGCCTTGATTTTGATGATTTTACATCTATACTGAAAGCTGATGATCTGAAACATATATGTAAAGAGCTGAAATTAAAAATACAATCAAAACAGGCTGCTGTTGATGCACTCAGGAATTTCTGTCGATCAAAATCTATCAGTAACTACTTTACAGGCAATTCAGACACAAACTACAGGAGAGTTATTAAAATGTATGTATCTGTTGTAATTTTTATATTAATGTATTCAAATTAGCATCAAATATAAGATATCTTCATATATTAATAAGAACAAACTTCTTATAACATTTTTTTAGTTTCAACTGTTGAACTGAGTTGTCTCTATTTCATCAACTATTTTTCTCATTTGAAAGAAAATAACAAAACACTGATATAGTTATAGCAGATTTTTTTATGTTTTATTCAATACTAGTCTACTGCTAAAATGTTGTTAACAATCTACTTTTGGTGATTATTCCATTCATATAGACAAACAATATTTTTTTGCAATATAAACATACATGACACACTGAACATAAATATGATAATTACTATCTGATTAATGATAAGTCTAAATGTGGACAATATTAATAGTATAATAATATGTATTTTTCAGGATGAGTGAAAAAGCAGGACCTTGTTATAAGCTATCAGAATTAACTCGGAGCACATTCTACAGATTGTATGTTCTTATGTACTTAGGTATGGATTACACTCATATAAGAGACAAGAAATTAGAACTGTTACATGTAAACGAGAAAATAAAAAGGGAGACATATCCAGTGGATGCTGATATGTCATTGGATGATGCTAGTGTTGTTTTTGAGAATAGAGAACAATTTGACAGGTAACTATTTATGTATATATTTTGAGATAATATATAACCTATAATACCTTAGGACAATTCACACAACGCCGTCTAGTCCCAAGTTAGCAAAGCTTGTTTTATGGGTACTAGACAACTGTTATAAATACTTAGATATATCTTTTTTGTAAATACATACATAAAGCACATAGAAAACAACCAGACTGATACAAACAGTCATACTCATGAATACAAAACCGTTTTGTACCGTGCGAGGAATAGAAACTGCGACCATCGAAAGTAAGGCGGTGTGCTAAACTGCTAGACCACCGAGGCTGTCAATCCGTCAACGTCAAACGCCTTAAAAGATAAGTGATAGCATATACAATCTATGATACACTCTATCTTTACATAAAATTTAATGAAGATCCATTTAGTGACATGAATAAGTGGGCAAACAAACAGACATACACACAAACCTTAGGCATTAGTAATATTACTATGGATTCAGAACAATCATTTTATTATTCGCCTTATACCACACATTATCAAAGTCAGAAGAATAAAATCAAATGAATTAACTTTGGTGAATGGGTTTAATTTATTATTAATTGCATTTAATTACAATTTAATCACATTCAGAAATTTAACTGTTTACTATTTGCGTTTGCGTTGCACTAACTGTGCCCGCGACTTCGTTCGCGCAGCGCACGCAAAGAAAGCTTAAAGCTGTCGTTGCGCGAATATCAATAATTTTCGCCGTTTATGCAACATTTTTTTACTGATGCTTCGCTTCTATTGGTTCCTCGACAAATGGACTATCTAACACAATATATTTTTTCAATTCGAACCAGTGGTTCCTGAGGTTAGCAATACAACTAAACTATCAAACAAACAAACAAATTCTTCAGCTTTATAATATTAGTATAGAATATAATACTGTTTTCAGCTACATGGTTGCTCATTATATATATGAAGATTTCTTAGAGAAAACAGATTGTCAAGAAAAAACCGTCGTTGTTACCAAAGTATACAGCATGTACAAATCTTTTTCTGACGAAGAGGTTTTACAGTAAGTACAAGTTACAGCATCTTACATATAAAGTTCTTGTTTCACAATGTTAGTTACATACTCCTTTGAAATGGCTTGACCGATTTTTATGAAATTTTATTTGCAAATTCAGTAAGTTAGAGAATCGGCTACTATCTATTTTTCATACTACTAAGTGATAGGGTTGTCCACCCCTAACATTTATATTTTGGACTATATATTTTTTATAATGTGGCATTAAAAATGACATACAACCTTATTTTCGCCCTTCAACCACCAACTCCTATTTTTAATAGCGTTATTAATTTATATGCCATTAAAACTTGATACTTTTTATTTAAAAAAATTAAAAAGGCCTACACTGTATTTCTTATATTATGTATCTCTCTTGCAGCTACAAATCATTGCCAATATGGTTGCGTCGCTTCACCCCCTGTAATATATATGTAAAAATCTTAGATGCTGGCATACAAGAGTTGAAGAAATACAAATCACAAGAGTACTATGAGCTCGCTGTAGAAATTCTCGATTTACTTATAGAGCAGATTGCTTTTAGACAACACAAAAAAGCAGAATGGTACTCAGAGAAGGCTTTAATACTGCATTATTTAGGACGAACTGACGAGGTTTGTTTACATTATTTGTATATAATAGATTGAATTACATTGATAATGAATAATTATTATATAAATGACCTACTTCGCATATGCCACACCAATTCTCAACCACAAGGACCTTCGCCGACGAGTCTTCCAACAAAACTTGTGGAAGCACAGCTTATAAACAAAGCTTATTTCATTGTAACTTTTTTATGTATTTCATATTAAATCTTCATTTATTTAACTTAACACCAACAAAATCGCTCTTTTACCTTTAAAAATAGGTATATTTTTAAAGGTAAAAGAGAGAATTTGTATATATTTTAACATTCCTTACGTTTAAACTAGTAAGATTCAGAAATTTTCTCTGTAATAAAAATATAAAAAATGTTAAAATTTATCCTAAATATAAATATCATACTATAAAAAATACTCAGTGGATTTTGTTTCAAACTACATTGTCAGTGAATTATATTTTAAAAGTTATATTTAATAATTGACCCCCGTGCGAAACCGAGTAGTACGTTAGTTTTAAATATTTCTTGTTATTTTCAGGCAGCAGAAGTTTTAATCCATGGTTTTAATTCGCATCTTCCTGAAGACGCCAAGGACAGTTTACGGCCGCGAGCTCGCAAACTAGCTAATCAGGCGAGCCAGCATTTAAAGACTGAGCTATTATTATATGCCGATAAAGAAACTATATTAGAGAATAAGTTACCCGCTAATCATATATACAAACAACCAATGGAGTAAGTATTAGTGTGAGTGAGTGAGTCGAGGGGCTCATTGTATATCAATTGGTTGGTGAAGCCATAAACGTCGTATGAAATATTCATGAAATGTAGAACCTCTCTCATACTTGATTCTATTTTGTGACGCAAAATTCCACTGTAGTAGTAAAATAAGAAATTGTAAGTATTAAAAACTGGCCGGCTGTGCTCCGCCACAGGGCGAATAAAAATAATGTTTGTGTGACGTAATCTATGGATGATCCCTGACAGTGAGTCATGTCAGTGAGTATTCTGTAGTAGATATGTTTCTTCTATATTTAATTTTTAAATACCAGTAACCTGCGGCGAGAATTGATGTAATTACCATTTCTAACACCAGATAAAAAAACCAGCTACGTTGTCAGTATATGCTGGTGGAGCACCAGTGAAGGATGATAGATTGAGAATGAAGTCAGGTGTTGACCTGACTACGTAGAACTACGTGGCGAATTAATGATATGATATTGACCACGATTACCTCTTTCCTGCGTCGTAGTCGACCAATTAGGATACATTTTCAGTGATGGAGCCACAGCAATGGAGTCAATACTAGCTATCCTCTCTCCTTACCAATATTCTTTTTAATGGATAATTATAGAATTGTGCCCCCTCCTGCGCTAACGGTTTATGCTTGCGGGGCACCAGTGGAAGATGATAAGATAAACTTGAGGTCAGGCCAGTTAGCCCATCAAGACAAATTCACAAGGAATGTATCACGATGGTTTCTAGGGCGAACCGCGTGGATATCAACCTGACATGGTAAATTGGTAACAATGGGTTCATTAATTCACATTACTAACAATTCCATTCCTCCAGAGGTGATCTATCTATGAACTCCTTATATCTAAGAATGATCTATTTCTGGCGTGGTATTATATCAGTCTACATTACTAACACCCCCCCCCCCCCCCCCCCCCCCCATGTAGTATATTTTCAGACGTGTACAACAACGCGGCAAGTTACAGTTCCAGACTCGCTCGGGTGGTGAGATAGTGGTGCAAGACGCGGAGGATTATTGTGTATGGCATTACGTAAATAGTGGACAATTTACACACGGTAAAGTAATAGAAATTACACCTTACAGATTTGAATTAACATACATATATATGTATACTAGCTGTCCCGGCAAACGTTTATTTGGCTTAAAATAAAAAATAAAAAATTAGGAGATGAAAATAGATGTTGGCCTATTCTCAGACCTACTCAATACGCTCACAAAATTTCATGAGAATCGGTCAAGCCGTTTCGGAGGAGTAGGAGAACGAAAACTGTGACACGAGAATTTAATATATAAGATATTATTATTATTATTTTGCACAATGTAATAAATATATAAGAACAATTCTTCTTAAAAAAAATAAAAAAGGCATTTCTCGTAAATTGCGGAAACAATTGACAATAGAGCAGAATGGTTAAATATCATCATATGTAACTATTAATATGGCAATTACTCACAATAACTACATTTTTAATGTTAAAATATGTAATAGTAACTTTGGTACAAACTAGATGGCATTAATCATACCTTTTTAATTTATAACCTTCTTTTTTTATATTTTTATAATTCACTGCTTCGTTGTATAACAGGTAGACATTGGGAAGGTCAATTTGCCGTCTCCATTTTCTTCCTGCTTTTTTGGGATATCATATACACGAAGCCGCGAGGTGTTGTGGGCATATTTCTTAGTCGTTTTCAAATGTACCCATTGGATATGTTCTGTGAAAGTTTCTACATAAATAGAAAGACTATGATTGATGAAAGATTGGCGATGATCAAGAAGGGCACTACTGAAGATATGCTGGGTATTATGAATCGAAATTGGGACAGCAGGCCAGAGGGTAAGTTTATTATAATATATAACTGTAATAATAACATGAAAGAGTTAGAGGACGTCCACCAGCTACATGGTGGCCCAGCATGAGTAAGCTTATCGCTGCGGAAAAATTGCCCGACCCGACAACCCGGGACAGATTGTCCTCGCGCCGCAAAATTAGGAGAGCCGAAGAAGAGGAAGAGGAAGATAATAACAACACAAAACAATTTACAAGTCTTAACTTAGTTCGGTACACAGTTAACCTGTAGTTAGTACTAAACAAGTGAAGTGCATATTATGAAAGTATAAAAAAATGTATTTAAGTAGAAATACTTATTAAACACGTTTAAATAACTAAAAATATTTAATTAAAAGTACAATACAATAACTTCAAAATGGCATTGATACCGTAGTAATACTGGTTGCAAAAGAATTGTAGAAGTTGGTGCATCATTGGAGAATATACTACATGACAGTCACATAAATGCAATAGAATTGAATCACCTTTATAACAAACTAATGTGTCTTCTGGTTTCTCATAATTATTTGAATTCATAGCATATGCGCAATGCAATAATGTACTTTCAAGCAGTTATAAAATTTCTCAAATCAATGCAGTAGTTTCGGATTCTGCTTCATCGTAACAAAATTTTCTCTCACTATAATATTAGTATCTATTTAATATTAATAAGGAATAATGTAGCTTTATATATCGGGTGTGACAAGGTATAGGGCAAGACCACGTGCCCTTCATGATTAAAACAATATGTATATTCAGGTGAAATGTCCGGCGTTTGTTTGACGGGCGCGGAGCGTGAAGCGTGCGTGGCCGCTGCGTGCGCGCTGAGGCCGGCCGGCGTGGTGGCGCTCTGCAGTCGCCTCTCAACACAATACCGATACTGCAGCGCCGGCTTCCCCGATCTGACTTTGTGGAACGTGCACACTGGCCAGGTGACTATAGTCCTCTTGTAGGAGTGGCAAATTTTTATGTATTATCGTAGATATTTTCTAAACTAATGTGTAACGCCACCACATACGTATTATCAATAAATTTGACTAAATTTATTGATTAATTTTGTGGGAAAATAATAATTCTAAATATTAATCGAAAGCACTCCGAACTGATGGTAGATTTGCCATATAAGGCTAGTCTAAGATATGTAATATAAGAGTATGTAATAGACCTACATGAATAAAGATAATTTCATGTTGATTTTCAATCACTTTTATCAGAGATAGACTATAAATATTGCCTTGCAAATTGAGACGCGGTGACAGTAATTCACCAGCTTACGTGTTAATTTATTCATTTATTTTAGACTGTATCTATCCAGTGGTCAATATAGACCTGCCGTAATGCCTTTCACCTTAGGCGATTTTTCGCCTATCTTAAATTAGTAATTATAGCCTAATTGAAATTAGTAATTCATTTAGTTCTAACTGAAAATGACGAACATGTTTAATTTTGTAAAAAGGCATATAATGTATTAGTTGTTAAAAAATAATTTGATAGTATTTTCTTGAGTTTTGTAAATAATTAGTCATGTTTTTTTTATATCTCAGATAAAATTTGTGGAAGTGAAAACAGATACGGACAAGCCATCGATGAAACAGATACAATGGATGCACTATTTGAAGCAAAACGGGATCGATACTGAGTTCTGTTACGTTGGGGTTAACACCACCAGGAGTAAATCTAGAGCTAGCTGAGAAATATTATGATCTTTTTCAAGAATGCTATTTTTTTATCAATTTCGAACTGATTTGTAGAAGTATAACGACGGCAAAGTGTACAATGTGCATCACGGTGTTATGGTTGAATTTATTTAAAATCAAGTGTGTGGATAAACGTCTTACGAACGCCGTAAGTCGTACACGAGCCGAATGTCTTAAACGATAACACACTCGGCTCTATTACGTTGAAATTCTGCCTCGTGTGTTATAACCATCACAACGCACTTATATCGTAATATACTATTGTCAAGCAGTGCTTTTTGCACTGTAAAAAGATGTCTACATGAGTATAACTGGTAGTATAGTATAGTGTCGCCTATTTCAGCCGACAATTAGTTTGCTTTATAAGCTGCGTTTCCGTTGTAAGGGCGATTAGGCTATACAATTACAAGATAAAGAGCATGACACCTTATATCTCTGAGATGGCAACGCATAAGTGGTGTCATGGGTGTCTCACGATATCCCTAGTGCTGTTCATGTATATAGGCGACGGTTATCGCTCACCATTAGGTGGAACGTCAGCTTGTTTACCATTAAAATTTCATAAAAATGCAATAAAATAACCTGATATGATTAACACTACTAAGAAAGCCGCCAACCGCTATCTGAGAATCGAAATTCCGCTTGAATCGAAATTGAATCTGTAATAATTTTACAATTTAAAGTTAAATTGTTGTTCTAAAGTAAGAGGGCCTGCAGGGCTGTAAACGCGGACATTAAATTAAATGGATAAATCTAATACGCAGTGCTATATAATTGGTATCACGTTTTAATAAAAAACAATTTTGTTCCTTGTAATGCAGGCCTGGCCTGATAGCTTAAGTGTAGGATAACTGTATCGTAATGGCGCTATGTCTCTTTTTATTTTTAATAATAACAGCATATTTTTGTTACTATTATTTGTATTTTTATTACTTAACTGAATGTTTTAAATACGACTATTAATATCCGACAAATGTTTCATAATTTATAGAAAAACATAAAAGTATAGAGAAATTTAAAACGGACTAGTTTGTAGGACTATAGTCTGATATATCAATAACAAAAAATATAGCTGTTAAGTAAAATGATATGGACTTCATATCGTTATAAGTACATATTTACTGCAATACAATAGGGACTGACAAGGAGTCATCAAGTTGTATTTTTTTAAGTTCTCTTTTCCCAAATAGACAGCTAATTTAGGATTCATATAATTAGCTAGGATATCTCGTGATTACTTGCGTTTAAGACATCAAGATCTATATATATTATGTTTTCTGCCATAAAAATCTAATAAAATTATATTTTTGTAATATTACTCAGGCCATCTTTGGGTTGGTAATTATTTATCTGTGATATTATTTTTATTTGGAGGCTCAATCTAAATTATAGCGCAGTATGTGCAATTTTCTCTATGAGGGCGCACCAGTTTATATGTATCAATAAATCGGGAATAAAATAACTACATCCTATTTTTCTAATAATTAGGATACTCTGTTTACAAAGGAGTTGAGGAATAAAATTCTCTTCTGTAAATATATAATGAATCAAAATCAGCGTAATAGGAGATCCAAAAGTAGGTCTTCAGAATATCATTAGAAATTCTAAAATGTAAATGTACACAGTTTTAGAATATTTTAATATTACTAGATTTTATACTAAAATTTAAGGGCAACAGACGGTACAATAATATGTGATAACAAATTTTAGAGGCCCAAGAGTATGGTTATGTATATTTATATATAAAAATGCTCAGTAGAATGGATGCATTGTTATATTGCATTTTTGTACTTCATTTTATTAAACAATATGGTATCAACTACAAATCTTTTATTTTTACATTGCCATGGGAATATACACCTAAATGTATCTTCTATCATACTCCTCCCAAACGGTTTTTTTATTATTTTTTTTTAGTTTTAATCGTCTACGACTTATTTATTCATTTTACGTATAATATTGGGTATTAAGGTGATAGAGCTTCTTATTTTACATGTAAAAATAAAATAATAGTAATAATAAGATTTACACATTTTAAAATGTCTAAGCTAACAGCCGAAAATCGGAACATTTTTGTAAAAAACAATTAAATTAAAATATTTCGAAAACTTTAGAATTTAGAATAGGGGTGTCTCATAAATGATGTAACTATATGCCCTTAACGAGAATAGGTCGACTTAACCAGTAACTCTGTATATTATAATATGCCACAATGAGTCGTAAGGCGTGATATAGGTCAATATGTAATTAATGATTTCTATTCGAACTACAAAAACATTACTCTTGATATAAATATTATCTATGAACAAATGTCATTAACAAATATAACGTCACTTAGACATTGTAATAATCTATGAAGAATAACTGAGTGAAGTTTTAGAAGAGTGAATAAATATTAAAGTTTTCAGAATATTATTAAACATTAAACTTAATCAAGCTTACGCCCGAATACTGAATAATTTTTATTATTTGAAAACTTTTTATACCGACAAAGACAAATAATATGCACATGTTTTCCTTATATATACTACTTCTTGCAATGTCTGCTGTATCCGCCCTTTCAGTGGTAATTCTATGTTGCAAGAATCGCGGTAACAGAAAGAAAGGCTACATGAATGTGTCAGAGAAACCGTCGACCGCGGCCGTACGGGGAGAGTAGTGTATTCGATGATATGCAGTAAAATAACGAAGTTCAACTTTAAAAAAATATAATAATAGTTTTGAGGTTCCTTAATCTATTATTTTAATACTTACACAAAGTATCAATTAACAGTAATTCGATTAAAAATAAAAAAAAACAGCTTGTGTAACATATTATTTATTAAAATATATTCTACTAAAAATCATAACATAGTATGTACAGGTCAACAATACACCCAACCTACAAATGTAGGAAAATAAGGCACCTATTTAAGACTTATTCTATAATATATGAAAACTTGCAACTTTACAAAACCCATGACATACCAAATCCTTATCAACTATTTAAATAACTTTCACCGACAATGGTAAATTTATAACATCAAACAAGCCGTAAAGGTTGAGCATTTCGTTACAATAATTATAAACAGATAGTAAATAAATTCTTATAATATAAAAAATTAAATTGTCACTTTAAAAATTACGTGATTGTCTGTGGCGCATAGAAATTATTGCAAGGCGGGAATTTGGATAAATGCCCAAAATTTTACATATCGAATATACGAAAACGTATGAATAAAAAATATACCTTACAAAACGATAGCAATTCGTTTTTCTATTGGTAACTAAATTTCGAGACTTAGTCTACTACGAAATTCTAAGACCACCATTAAACCCAATTTAAGAAATGACAAAATAATTTATGTGTATATATCTATTTACAAACAAAATATTCATTATGATTACATATTCAATAGAAATAGTTTCTCTATTACAAATAAGTCATTACATTTCTTGGGTTGGCAAATGATATGTTTTCTAAAACATGATTTCCTTTTTACACAGCCACAGGAAGTGATTGCATTGCACTTACAAAAAGAGTTTCCTAAAAAACTTACTTCTAACATTGTATAAATAACTGTAAAATTGGCAAATTTATACCTACACCTACGTACATATATATAAATATCTTTCCAATATAGGCACCTCAGTAAACATTGTTCCTCTATAAAAACGGTGAACAATACAAGACAAGTTTTTTCATTATACATAACAACAAATATACAAAACATATTCAACTTGAAATTAGAAACGACTTGGAATTACTTTCTAGTACTACATGTGGTACAAAAATGCTAAGGAATTATGGCATACAACATAGTCATTTGTCAATGAACAAATTATCTTTAAGTATTCGAAATTGTTAATATAGTTCATATATTTTTAATTGGTGAAGAATAAAAACAGTCTATAGTCTGATATGTATTTGCTACAAAATGATTTTAATACTATTAAATATTTGGACGCAAAGTTGATTAATCCGATGTATTACAGTTTTGAGTCACTTTGTTTTCACTATAACGACATAAATTCGGCGCTCTTCATTGCTGTTGGGGGATCGGGACTCCTGGTCAGAAACGAATACATTATACTGTTACTATTGTTTATGTATATTGAACCAATCTTATACGTCTGGCCGAATATTCTAGAACTTATACAAATTGCCATATTAATAATAGATTACCCCAGTAAATAATGCTGGTGTTATGTCTCCAAAAACGACTAAATGGATACATGTAAAAAAATAACAGCCTGTTTTTATGCAATTTTATTATACTCCGCACGTTAGCATGGTGAACTTAAATAGCACATAGACACTAGAACGCATGATATTTTCGAACTGAATCAGACTGTATTGAATACACACAAGTGAATATCAATAATGTCTATTACATTGACTTCAAGACTCCTCTAAATATAGTACTTTTACTACCTAATTATCGTAAAAGTTGATAGTATATCAACTGTCACCTGCATACAATACGGAAGTATAAGAAAGCGAATATTCAGCCAGGGTATAACAAGTTATTATTAAATAGTTTTGTATGATAATTATAATGATAACAATGAAAATAACTGCGATAATTTATCGTAACATTACATGAATATATTAGTGTTATTTAGTTCGACCATCGCAGTAGATACTACCTACATATACAAGTTAACGGAATCTACGAAATGTTAACTAATAATGAGATCTACAATAACGTGAGATGACTATAGCATTATGGTTACCTTATATAGTGGTTTGAAATGGAAGGCAATGAATATATGTGCCATATACTTGAACCCCGTTTGATAAGCAGAGAAATGTTGAATATTCGTGTTGTTTTTGTACCACATTTAACAACGTAAAATTTACAGATCTATATATATTATAAACACGATTTAAACATCGTAAATTTGCGTATTTTTTAGCATTGATTTTATAAGGAGAGATATGTAACTTATAGTTAATTGAATTAATTGAATAACTATATGATAGGTACTTTTAGAAATATTAGTCACATAATATATTCTATTATGTGTGTAAGTTTAGCAGACACAGTAACCTTAATTTTATATATGTAGATTGAAAATCAGTTTTACGTTATGAATTTAAAATAGCTAATTTGAAGGTATCTAATTTTTTGTGGGTATAGAACATTATTATCCGATTTGTCTTTACTCTGAAAGCGCATAGGTGTATCAAACAGGGTACCAGTATGTCATATAATTAATTACCCTTATTAGATATGAATAATAAGGCCACCTTTACATCTGTAATTTTTACTCATAGAAGTACACATTTACTAATGTAAACATAAAATAGTTAGTATATTACCATATTTAGTTTGCATAATATACAATACTTCATTTTAATTACGAAAGTGTTATTGCTTACGTAATTTGAACCTACACATGTAAATGCGGCCTAATGAAAACAAATGATTTGAAACCTATAAAAATCCGCATAAAATGACTACGATATGATAACAATATCAGTAATAAAAGTTAGCAGCCAATGTTCATAACAGTTCAGAAGGTTAACCCAAACAAGAATACTGCATAAACATAATGAAATATTTGGCAATATATTAAGATATACAGTACAATAAATAAGATTGACTACAATGTTCAATTTGGGAACCTCTGGAAGTGACTTAAATTTTAAAGAAAACAATTACATTTCATTCGTATTTCAGTCATAAATAATTTCATAAGCTTGGACTACATCTAGTCTTTCAACTGTAAATATGCCTAAATTACACGATTAATATTAAGGCACACATAGTCTGATCACTAAGAATAATTGCATGCATTAGTAGTAATATAAATATTAACTACATATATATGTAGCTAATATATTTTTCAATTTAGTTAACAACCGTCATATCTACTTTATTAATAATAAAATAGATAAGATTCAATAAAATATAATAGGAAAATATCTCATTAGAAAGCTACTACCCGGTATTCATAGTAAAAAAAAGTAGGTCCCAAATTTCATAGTGATTTTCCTAGATAATATACGGTTGCGTATGTATTAGTCCCTATATTCGCAAGGTAAGTCGGCTCACATGTTGGGCTCCTGCTTGAAGGGTACGGGCTCAAGGAAGGCGGGCTCCGGAAGCGGCAGTTGTGGTACTAGTGGAGGCGACGACGCTGACATAGGGGACCCACCGGCCGCCATTTCTGCGGGCTGTTCTTCTGCGTTTGCGTCTGTGGATGCTCCTGATGGACAATATAATTAACATTACACCGACGCCAAACATAACTTCAAAGGTTTGAAGACTATAATAGTCAAACCTTAATACAAAAAAAAATTTCAACGTTCGTAAGCGACTAAAATGTCTTACATCAATAATTATTTTTTATTATATTTGATGCTATGTTTTATGGCGGATATCATATATACTATACAATACTTTTACATATAAATTCTATTTGAAACTATAAATTCTTTTCTCAGTAAGTATGCAAATTGAATTAAATATCTCAGTAAAAATATAGAGTACAAAGGCGTCGTAGTTTATTTTTCCCAAATGCAACATACATTAGTTAGCCATTTACGATGGCCTTTTACTGATGACGTGACGTCCGTAGTTCTGTTCATGTATATAGGCAACGGCTACCACTTACCATCAGGTGGGTTATCAGCTTATTTGCCATGCAAATAACATTTAAATACTTGTTGTTGCAAACAAGAGGGTACTTTGCAAACGAGCTTGCTTTACACCCTCAGTACTGAATTTTGTAAATGTACGCTACATATATTTGAAAGTTAACAATTATCAATAACTATTTTACGCATTGTGTTATTTGTATACACAAATAATCTTTAAATTATAATTTTTCTTTGTATGCCGAAAAATATTCAAATCGAAGTATGCCGCAACAAAAAAAAAGATTGTGAATCAATGTTATACATAAAGACAATTGTTGTTGAATTTGAATTGAGAATTGAAAACAGTCTATTTTGAAACCGCGGGAAATTTTTAAGTTATTACCACCGAGCAGCATCTCTTGTAGTAGACTGTCGACGTGTGCGACTCCGAACAACTTGGCGAATTGTATCTGCTCGATCATCTGCCACGTGATGCTCTGTAGCGGCGGCAGACACAGCAGAAGCTCGCCGAAGCGGCCGCGCCCGTCGTACTGACGGTCACTTATGTAATCCTCCAAGTTGATTTGTATTTGGTAACGTAGCTGCTTGATCTTTTGTGGTTGTGACAGTCCTTTGGCATCTGTTGATAGAAATTAATGCATAATTTAATAAAAAACAGTAGATGGATATATCTATATCTACTGTTTTTATATAGATAGAAATAGATTAAATAAAATGAAAAACTCTTTACAATTCGTTCCAAAAATAGCAATTATGTAGAGTAAATAAAGTAAAATGCAGAATATTTTATATAAGTGCACACACAAGGTACAGTAATATAAAGAAAAAAAGTAAACACACAAAACAAATTGGTCAGTTAAACTCTAAATTTGTTACGACGGTTGTCTGAGTTATTAGTTTAATTGGTGTATAGGAAGTACTATAGTTCTTAAGAAGGAAGATCTAGATTACTAACTGGGATCGAAGAACACGATGGCCTTGAGGCAGGCGAACTCAGTGTCGTCGATGTCTATCTCCCGCAGGGGCTTCACGATCTCGTCCATAACACGCACGCCGATCATGCTAATATCGATGTCCATACGACCGTCTGTAACCAATTAAATGTGTTATCAACAAAACGTATGCAAAAAGAGTACAATTGTAAACAATTATTACTGACTTCCTGAAAGCAATTAAAAGTGATTCCGTAACGGTGTAATCATTTACGGGTACTCGTATGTTAGCCCACACATTATTACAATCGGTCGGACGACACGTGCCGACGACTGCCGTTTTGATTAGGGCCCATTCATAAATTACGACACACGAATTTCATGATTTTTTTAATCTCCCCCTGTCGTTGCAGCTGATCACATTTGTAATACTCCCCCTAACTAGTCTCACGTCACAGATTTTGTAGTACACTAGTCAACCAGTAGGAGAATAGGAAATTGTATTCTTTTACATTGTGAATCAAACATATATAATACGAGTTGTGCCCGCGGCTTCACCCGCGTGAAATTTATAGCCTATATGTATAAGCTACATTACCGTAAAGTTTGATCGAAATCCGTTCAGTAGTTTTTGCGTGAAAGAGTAACAAACATCCATCCATACTCACTAATTTTCGCGTTTATAATATTAATTAATAAAATTGGATTCAAAATGTGACACATTTTCATCCATTGCCATACAATGTCACATTTCGTCAACAATTTCCCCCTCCTTAACGTATTACGTAATTGTGAATGGTCCTTTAGTGCATTTACAAAGAGTGCGGGGCGTAGCAACCAATGCGCCAATCAAATGGAAGTTGGCCGACGGGCGCTCATAATGTGTGAGTAGCCTTATGGTATGTTATTACTAACTAAGATATGAAAAAAAAAACGTATTTTTCCGTCATTGTTGATCGACTGTTATCTATAGACAAATAATTTAGTATCTGTACATATGTGGCAGACGAAATAAATACGATTACTGTTTAGCGCCATGTTACATGACCTTTGTTTTATTATATAGTAAACAGAATTACTTATATATGAAATATAATATATATGGTACGTGGCATAGTAAATGTATTTAGTCATCATCATCTGCTTCTTCCTTATCCCATTTATTTGGGGTCGGCGTAATATGTTCTTCTCGTAATGGAAATTCATCCCTGTTCGCAGTCATCTCGTTATTTACTCCCTTTCTTATCATATCATCATAGTAAATGCATTTAGTATGTGGTTGTAAGATATGCTTTGGCGTAACGTAGTAATTAAATTTATAAGGTAACCGGTGCACTCATTTCAAAGGTCTGGAATTATAATTTCATTCTATCGGGATACAGACTTAGCTTATATTAAATTACTGTCTATATTAAGTCGACACTACATACTGAAGTCGTGTTCTTTGTTTCCTTGACAATGAGTTTATATATATGAAAACATTTATAAGTAAAAAAGAAAGAAATAAAATTATCTGCATCCAATTAGCGTGCAGATAAAAGTAATCAGAATGTAAATATGAAAATACAAATGTACATAAGTGACGTCATTATATTATATATGTTATTTATCTATATAAATAAAAATGAATAGCCGAATGTAAGCGCATTTCTACAGATTAGCTGCAACTCTATGACAATTCTTTATTCGATTCTTTAATTGTCAGGACAATATTTATTTCTATGCTAGATAGTTTTCGACAAATTGTTTCGTAAACTGCTCAAAATATCCGTATAAAAAATGTCAGAATTGATAAATTGGTCATACTGTAAACGGAGTATTAAAATAGTCTCATTTTCTCATGTCTTCATAGATACACTCGAGCAGACCTGATAGGAGCAGCAAGTTAGCAGACATACCTATATTGTGTTTGGTGATGATGCAGTTGTTCCCCAACAATAGTACATCCTTGATGTGCAGTGAGCGACGCGCGCATCCCAGCAGCAGGTGTTCGCCAGCATGGGCACGCAGCAGCGCCACCTATGGGCGAACAAATACAATGTCGTAACATAATCATAATTTAAAAAAAAATACATTAGACTTAATTATATGCAATTGTAGACGCGCAGTGGTCGAAATTAGATCACAATTAATTTAACATTCAGTATGAGATATGATTTGTAAGATAAACAATATTAATCTATTCTTAACATAGATAACCATAGATTTCAACAAGAAACAAAAGAGTATATGCGCGTGTGTATGTACATGGCCTTTATTATGCATAATTTAAAATATATATAAGCATAAGCACTCCTGTCCTATATAAACTAATAAGTGCGCGAAATTTTATACTTGTGTCCGTCCGCGCAATTATCGTATAAAAAAGTTAAATAAAAATGTAAAAGAGTACATTCCCCCATGTTAAGAAGGCTTTTCATGATCAAAAGGCTAAGACAATTTACACACAGTATCAATACAAGTATCCTCATTTACAAAGATCAATTACAAATATATTTTTTAACAATAATAATTGTAACTGACAACGACCTATTTTTAGGACAAAATTTAGCACAGTTGTCTTTCGCGTTCTAAGCGTTGATATCGACAGAAATAAAATATATAGACAGATGAGATTCACAAATTGGAAAGCCGATTTTTACCCTGAAATTTGACTCAAATTTTTTTCTATAAAATTTACGCGGGAATAAATTTTTAAACGGTTGTTAAAAATATAATTATGAATGTAATTTACGCATAAGGGAATTTCACATCTCTTTGCATATTCAAGTCTGTCTCTATTGCTTATTTTTTAGTTTAGTTTTATAGTGTATATTTGTGGTCAGATAGTTATTATGTATATAATAGTAATAATATAATGAGATAGTATTGTATTTATTAAATACAGCCCTGTTACCTTATTTGTTACATAGACGTATTATCAGGTTAACCTATAGGCCAATGTAGCAGACGGATGACTCGGCTGGGTACCTATACATTATCCACTTGAGTCATGTTTACACAATGATTTGTAACACATGTTATTTTTATTAACTATCACGTCTCTTAATTATAGTATTTAAAATTTCAATCTGACTAATGATTCGTAGTGACATAATTAAAACATTTATATTGGTTTAAAATATTCATTTTAGTATAAGTTGACGCACATTTGTGTATTTACTAACGATAAAGAGAACAATAACCCAGGACAATTTACATAGCATTGCTTAGTCCTTAACTAAATAGCGTTTGTCCTGTATGTAGTAAACAACTGATAGAATTACTTCAATACATTTTTTTTTGTAAATACATACATAATATACATTCAGACTAACACAATCATTCTCATGAATAGAAATGTTCGTGTCGTACGAGATATCGAACTCGCTACCATCGGAACTATGGCGGCATGCTAAACCTCTTGACCACCGAGGCCGTAAAATCTAAGAATTTTGGCAACATTGTGCGATGTTGGCATTATTTAGCCATAAAACATCTGGCAATACCAACTAGCGTGCAGGTGTAGCGGACTGACCTGATCATCCAAGTGGAGCTCTGTAAAGGCGGGTATGTATTTCGCCCATTCAACAAGAATTAACAGCTGCTGTTTGATAGACTCGCACACGTCATTGATCTTCGCCAGTTTTCGATTGTTGATCTCAGCCTCACCGACGTTTATCGTCTGTAAAATAACATTTAAAATTTAAAATGTAAATGATCGTAGTCCGTAGATTGATGATATATAGAAAAAAAAAATTTTACTGGAGGGACTCTATTGATCAAATAGAACTCAAAACTACGCTTGTTAGACTGTTCGCCATATAACGGAAATGACTTAGCCGGTTTGGGTGCAGCTTTCACTATTGTATTGTGGTAAGCTTCACTTAAAATTTTGTCTGTATTATTTTTATTTGTAAACAAATAAAAACCTTATAGTAGTCTATAAGGTTTTTGTTTGTTAATAAGAATATTATATATCATTAAGAATATAGCGACGCACGGATACCGAGTCATAAGCTTAATAGGTTCTTTATTTACTAAGTAACTTGTGCACTAGTATATAGTACTAAACATACAAAATCTATTAATATATTAAAGGAATCTATTAACGCATTTTAATACCATTAAAAGGAAAATATTATAAATTGTATTGTATATCTATAAAAATAAACTGAAGAACACATTATTATTGGGTTAAATATATGTAATAATGACCATAGACTATATTATAATACCATAGATTATATTATAATACATAATCTTATATATTCTGTAGTGTATCCCAGCCCAAAGAAACGCTATCTCCTGTTAGCGTTTATTGGATCATAATTATAGGGTTATATTAACATCTGAATTCATTTAAAAATCAATCAAATAACATTTGTAACAGAGTTGTGTCTACAGTGGCGATAATAAAATCGTTGTCATCTGAACACTACAAACATAAAGATTACTTTTTATTGTACTATTAGTGGTCAAAATAATAAGTTTGAAGCAAAGTTTCAGTTTTATCTTAACATAAAGTTATCAAACTGTTGTAAACAACTAGATCATATGTTTCTTTAGATCAAATGTCATCAATCTCATATTATACAAGGTGATTTTCATGTATTTGTTTAGTATGTCAGTTCTCTACATACAAAGCATTTTAGAATTAAAGGAAACATTTACTGGGCATTACTTTTGCTTTAAAATAAATATTTTTAATATATTGAATTAGTAAGCTAAAATCTACTCTGTTAACGCTGAAAGTGACTCCCATTCAGCATACACTGTATATAAATGTATAATGAATATAAAATAAATGTATTGTTCTGAAAATCTATTGTCCACTGAAGTGAGAAAGTTAATAGATAGAGGAACAATATACAAAACGATACACAAAATTAAACTAAATATTTTCTTATTCTGTGCGCAGAATAGATTGAAATTATTATTTATATTTTAATAAAAAAAATGTCTGTGTATGGCACATGAAATCTACAAATTTTTTGGCAAAGCAGTAGGTGTCAGCTTAATCCAAATGTAAAGTTTATTTATATTTTTATTTTTATTTTAATAATGGTCGTCTTCCGTTTGAATATTATATTTTAGGTAATGAAAGTATACAATTCTGTTCGATCACCAACAAAATATCGGTTGATTTAAAACGGTGAATTGTTATTGGCGATTTCTGTTGACACCCAGAATTTTTAGGGTATCTTAACGTTACACGTTATCTACTGTAGTTACCAACGACAACGAAATTCGACCAATTAACGCGCTTCACTTTATAATATCTAATAACGTATTATACCTATACAGTGATTGATTATTGACCCAAATAAATTGGGTATTCAGGTTTTCATCGCCCGATCAAAACGATTACGTAATAGTAGCAGTACTTAATGAAATATTAAGTTCTTCGTTACCTTTTTTGAACTAAAAAATTGCCCGATAGACATGAAAGACGGATATAATAAAATACAGCTTAATGCATCGTACCATAAGAATAAGGTTTTATACATTCTATATTGGGACATTTCTACTGAAGTTCATGAAGTTTAAGAGTTTTGAAGTAGTTAAGAAATAAATATGTTTCAGGTGTCAGGAGAGTGAACAGATAAGTGTACTGACCTCATCGACAACTTTTCTGCTTAGAAGCTCAGCGTTGAGGAGTGACACCACGGACAGACCATTGGCTTGTGAGGGCTCTTCGTATGACGGCCTTCTGCAATTGATACGGTCTCTTTCGTTTTGAACAGCTGGAACAAATCGTAATATAATTTATAAATGACGCGAAATATGAATACGGATTTTAAAAAATGTTGCTTAACTATGAGTACGACCAGCATGGTATTAGCAACTTGTAACAATTTTGGAGGTATTTTTAAAATTACCGTGAATTTATACCATTTATGTAAGATGATGTACCTATAATGAGCTGCATTATAGATACATCATCATACATAAATGGTTTTTGAATAAAAAATTACCACAGTTATATGGAAGAACGAAATTGCATACGTACATAACACAACGTAGAGGTAAAATCTTTTTACTGTATATTCAGACAAATTTGTAATCGCGTAATATTGATTGTAATTATGTATAGTGCTTCAATTATATCTAGTGTGTATGCCCTTTCTCTGAACGGCAAAAAAGTCATCCGGTACAATAGCCATACAGAGATAATAGTGATAAATAATTTATCAGAATTGGTCTCTTTATTACTGTTAATAAAATATGTCATAAAAATGCATTTTATTTTTTAATAAAGTATATATGTATATATATGTATATATATATATATATATATACATTGTTTCCATTAGCTATAAAACATATTGTGACTTCTTTTCTATATATCTTTATTATCTATAACTTTTATATTGTGTGAGTATTCTTGTTAAGTGTTATCAATACCATTATATACAGTAGTGACAAATTGTTTGCACATATACTAATTATTTCCTTAAATTTTAACATTGATTAGTGAACGTTAAATACATATGTATAAGTCATTATAATTATAGAGAATCATTATTATTTATGAGAATTCCTCTACTGAACAATGGAACGTCAATTCAATAGGATGTAAATATTTAAAACACAACAATAAACATTTTTATGGGTAAATGTCGACAAGCAATGGCGCAACAAATGTGAATATTTATCAAAAATATTTATTATTGACTTTATTTCTAAATTAAAAAATATATAAATATTGTAATAAATTTGTCTGTATATATAAACATTAATTTGTGAGTCCTTAGAAAATAAGAAGAGTTTGAATTAGAGTGAGAATTAGAAAACCTAAAACAATAATTACCTATTGTATATAGTATTATAATATTCATATAACCTATATTACTCTGGAATAACGGACTGTTCAAACAGTGAAAGAATTTCTCAAAACTGTTCCGGAGTTTTTTTCCCTTATCTAAATCCGTTGTATCGCTTTATAATGTAAGTAGATATACTATCATTACATTGATCGACTTAAATATATCGGTACTTATTTAAATATATAACGGCGGTGCTTATGTTAGTTGCCTTCAGAAAACAAACTGTTGTACCGCTGCCTTAAGTTTGAAAATTACCTATTCTTATTGTATTTTTTAGATTGTTTTTTTAAATTAGGAATGGCAAACAATCTGACGATACCATGCATGCATTGCCATTTCTGCAGACTGAAACGTAGGAGGCATGGCATCCTGTAGTTACACTGCCTTATTCATCACTCTTAAACCGAAACACATTACATAGCAAGCTGCGTGTCGGCTGTAATACGTAAGTCTGAGATACTCATGTAGACGACTTTTTACATAGTTTATAGCAAACAACTGTCAAATCGCAGTAGCTACTCAATTATTCAGCAAACTAATATTAGTTACAATGACGAATATAGATTACATTGTAAGATAATAGACAGTTATCTCTGTAATGATTAGTGATCGATGTTTCTCTAACCTTATTATTATCTATTTCTGTTATCCGGAATTAGATAATAGTAGTCAACAAAACAAAATCATTTTATATTTTCATCGGCAGTTTGTGGCTTATCTGATTTGTCGTATTAATACGTATAATTTTGAAGTAACAATTATCTATTTCTAATCGTTATTGTTATTTTATTTAGTGTGTAGTAGTAACAGGATGTAGGCACCGGGGTACTTAAACTAATCGTGCTCGGATAGAACACCAAAGCTACTAGTAGGACCATTGCTAGTAATGTCCTCTAATACGTCGACTTCGAAACGTATAATATAATTTGCAAAATCAAATTTACTCACTGATGAATTTGTCACAATGTGCGAAATGGCCTCACTTCATCGTTATCCTATCATCATCCACTGGTACCCTACCAGAATATACAGTTTCATTATACGAGAGTACCATCCATTTTTCATTTATTAAAAAACAACGAAAAAAATTGTAGCCGAAACTAATGTGTATGAAAAAATAGTTAACGTGGATTAAGTAAGATACTTTGCAACCGTCTTTAAGATTTCTCTCTGCCTACTCCATAAGACACATGGCATAATTTTAAATAGATATGACAAATATAAGTCATTAAAGTATAGATATCAACGAATAATACGCTCATGATTTTGATACGAATTTTCAACCTACAGCAAAAGCGAGAAGCTTGTGTATGTATGAATTTCGATGATTATTTTGCAAACGATAAAATTCATGATAGGTCCCATATCAATATTTAACTTATATGCGCAAAATCGCAAACTTCCTTGCGTATGCTTGACACATGTATGTTTGTTACTGTTGCAGGTAGGTGGTACGTCAGTACGTATGTACCTGATGTTACATTGATTGTTGTGTAACTGTGTAGCTGTAGGTGGTAAAGCTGTTTTTTGTTGATAAGATAAATATGATAAGTAATCATATTGTTTTTCGATAAAAATAATGAAGATATCTTCAAATACAGTACATCATTATCTTGCCTATATTGGGTATAGGCGATATATTATATTATTTATGGTATAAATGCGAAATAATGAGAAAAATATCTTTCTATTCTATCGATACAGTATCTACACTATACATAATGCAGATTATGTATAGTGTAGAAGAAATACTACTAAAGAAGAATAACTACATAATATACTGTATTTTAAAGGCGAGATATGGTAGTGAAAAATTATAACTATATGTTATAATTTTTCACTACCATATCTCGCCTTTAAAACCTTACTGTTTTTCCTGTGTGCCTCTGCAATAAATTATTCAATAACTGCAGGGTACGGAAGCGTAACATTTATTTGTATTTCAGTAGTGGCGTCAACACATGATATTTATTACGGTTACTTATGAGATGTTCAATATTTTATGACAGATTAGAGACTCATAATATAATTAGATTAATGTAGAGCTAATTACTTAATTACTCGTATTTCTTTTCTGATAAATTGATAAAATAAAATACATTTGTAAATACCTACTTTTCACTGCATTTTTTATTGTACAGATATATGCTCCAACAATATATCCGTAAATGGAAAAATCCGTAAATGATAGCGATTACATACTTATGATAACGACTGATTTCAGGGGGGGGGGGGGGGGGGGGGGGGGGGAGTCTTCAGCTGTACAGTTTTAAGTAAGTACACAGATAGAATAATGCTATTACTATATATTACGTCACATGTATTTCAAGATTTGTTTACCCCTCCGAGCTTTGTAACAATTTTTACTGCGCTCTGCCTTGTATGACGTTACATCTCTTGCAATGTAATTAAATTTACCACGAATATTTTAAAGTATTTCGATAGCACAAAAGTATTAACGAAATATTTTAGATTTGCAGATAGATGTGCAGATTTTGAAAATCTCACGAAATTTAGGACCCACTATGAAATTAAATCAAAGAATTTAAGCAGTAGAATTAAAAATTACATTTGTTGAGTTTACTACCGAAATACGGTCGGATACTAGTTTAGCAACATAAAACAGTATTATAATAAATTTTATATATGTAGTGATCAAGTAGATAAATAATAATATATTTTTATATAAAGATTGTGAAGCGAATTTAGGCTATTACCCGATTACGTGATGTTGACGTTTTACGTTACGCATTCTTGTGTAAATAATTTTCAAACGATATTTTGGATATAACTAAATTCTGAATGAATATTGTTTGTTTTACGATCATCTATATTCAAAGGATTGGACTGTATTATTTATGATAACTATTTATAGAATTAGAACAACCCGCACAAAAACCTACGTGAAATTGACGCTTTACGCTAGGCGTCAATAACGCATACTTGTATAATTTTTTTAACTATATTTTGGATATAGTTGAATACAGAATGTATATTGCTTGTTTTGCGATGATAGAAGATATATATTCAAAGTGCTGGATTGTTCAAAATTCCATAAATTAAGTTTATTAAAATAAATATTATTTACGATAACAATTTACAGTTTTAGAACAACCAAAGATATATAATTATTATAATGATAAAATTAATTAATATAAGAACCGCTTCGGATATATCTGTAAATTTAAAACTTGTAATGAGTAGATATACAATCTTTTTAATCTTTAGATAATTATCGATTAAATAGATACAATAATAAATGCATTAAAAGGTATTATTGCTGTAAGTGTAGACTGTTTGACGTGCATTATGACGTCACAAGGCCATAGAAATAGATATGCAAGGCAATTTTGAATACCATGTGTAAATCTATAATTAGATTTGAATAGATTTTTTATTATATCAACATATTCAGAATACAAAGTGAACTGAAAATTGCCAAGATTTGCCTTTTGCTGTATTCAAAGAAGAACAATACTTCTACAAATTGTTTTCGTATTGTAACATTCATTTATATGCAGATAGATAAATATAATTACATGTTAGAGATTTAATATTCAATAATTTTACATAAGATCTAATGTGAGAGTTAATATACAATAACTCATGTATAAACATTTTGATTATTTACAATTAACAAATAAAGCCGTTGCCACGCTTGCGGACTTGTTAATTAGCGAATTCTCTAGCGGATTTATAGAATTATCTTATCTTGTATAAAAAATAAACATTTGGTAAATATTTCAAGTAGATTACACGTAACAAGATAAAATTAGTCCTCTTTGTCAGATTCTGTTTCTACTGTACAATATAAAGCTATGAATAGTAATAGCTATTCGGGGTTTGGAATTTAATGTAACAACTTATACGTCATTATTACGTAGTCACCTTTTTGGAAGTTGGTTAAAAGTAGTATAATCAGCTGGCCCCTCTCTTTCATCAGCTACTGTTTCTATTGTACAATGTAAAGCTTTGAATATAAATAGCTATTTATGGATTTGAATTTAATGTAATATCGTATACGTCATTAATAAGTAGTCGTCTCCTTAGAAGTTAGTTAAAAATATAATCAGCCCTCCTTAAGTTCCACTACCTAGCCACGTTTATAGTTGACTTTTGTTAACTTCCTTATAGTTGTATCATATTTGGGAGTTATGTGATCGATCATTATATTCAATATATATCTTTAGCACCAGAATTTGATTGGTGCATAAATGGCAAACGAAACCAATGTTTATATACATTGCTTTTATTTTTTATAGTAAACAAAGAATGAGATATCAATGATATTGAAACGTTGTCTCGTTCTAAAGAAATCTAGAAGTAGAATTGATTGCCATGTGCTCATTTTTCTATGTTCAATGAATGTTATATTGTAAACAATTATAATTATATAATATCTTACCTTCTTTTTTCATGCCGGCCTTGAAGCATTTCCTTAGCCTACAATATCTGCATTGATTTCTTTTGTCCTTATCTACTACACAATTTCTGTTGAATCTGAAATAGAAAGAGACGGTATTTTTTAAAAGGCGAACCAGATTTAAGTTATAATTATTATAACAAGGCAAGGGCTTTCGCATTTTTCGCATTTCGCATCAACAACTGCGAGAAAATTATAAAGACTGTTTAGAATTCAGTAGGACTGTGTGCACACAAATTAATTACGATGTAGGTATTCTTCAGTATTTGTTTTATCTCTATACCTCTCCACACATCCAAGCGCGAGCAATACGTTTAATTTATGAAATTTAGCAGTAAATATTTACGTTCCGTTCGACTTGGCTTACTATATTATTACAGTAAATATAAAGGTTTTTTTTTTCGTTATTCTGAAAATTATAATTATAATGTCTTATATATTTTTTCAAATTTATATACTGTCTTAAATTGTTCATACGAATGAGCTAAATGTAGGTCTTTTGTCATAGAGAAAATGTAGATTTTCAGTAACGTGTATTTCTTAATCAAATTTGTATGAATAAAATTTTACTAGTGTGAAACGTTGATATTAGTTGCCTTATCCTATGTCTCCAAATTTCTTTGAGTTTAATTATATATTGTAGAAAATTTTCATAGTAGCACGTTTTGTTTGGAGAGGGTCGCTGTATGACATGCAGTTTTAAAGGCCTCATCATAGCAACATGTAGCACTGGCGTCCAATTTTAGGTAGACGTAAGGTCGTCATATTCTTTCCACCTTATTTGTAACCACTAATACTGCCTACGTTTGTATTTTAAGGCCTAATAAAAGGGTTATTTGAAATTTTATACGGTTTTTACTATTATTTCTAGAATTTCTTCCGGTCGATTACTACTTGTACATACATATGGTTATACAACTTGCGTAACATAAATATACTATATAAAAAACCGACCCGTGACCAGGATGCTTGTAAGTGTCAAAAAGCTGTTTTTTATGAACTCCCATAAAAACAAATCGCGATAAATATACTGTTATAAAATGGGTACAATTATAAACAATCATGAAATAAGTTTAAAACAATTAATATATCGTAAGAGTTATATTCAAATGCAAAATTGCTAATTTTATATTCAGTAGAAGTGATACGATCTTCTGGCGACTAGATTTTTTTATACTACGACAAAAAATGTGGCAAACCATATTCAACAGAATACAAGCTGTAGATGTAAAATGTCGTCTATTTGGATACTTGAGTCTCATCTATTTCAGCCGCCAATCAGCTTGCTTTGTAAGCTGTGTTTCTGCTATAAGGTGCACATTAGGCAGTGAAATTATAGGATAAAGACATGGCATCTATACATCTGGAATGGCAACGCATGAGTGATATCACGGGTCACATGATGATGTGATGTCCGTGATGCCGTTCATGTATGTAAGCGATGGTAATTCACCATCATGTAGGCCAGGGATGGGAATCCCTGGCCTACTATTACTAACTTATTTTGTCTACTGCCCACTTTGAGTATAAATTATTTTTTAGCGCCCCCATTTTTTCACCTACTTAAAAACCACTATTAGTAAAAATTAAGTTAATGAATTATTGTGAGCTATATTAGCGGAGATTTAACATTAATTCTAACCGAGATTTTCTTTTCTTTTTACCCTTTAGGCTTACAGCGCCCACAAGTGGAACTCGCCCACTCGGAATATTATAAGTAATATAAGTAGATGTAAGCATATGTGTGAAATATTAACATACCTGCAGGTGTATAGGTGGTTTTTTCTGACGCTCCGTCTGAAGAATCCTTTGCAGCCGTCGCATGACGACGCACCATAGTGCTTGCCGGTCGCCCGGTCCCCGCATATCGCGCAGTGTTGGGACAGCGACACTGAACTTCCTGCGCTGGCTTCACTACTACTCGTTTCCAGTTGGATGTCACTGTCTGTAACAACAAATAAACAAACATCTATATAACCAATAACAATATATATTCATGAGGTAACTGTCCCAGATAGAGTAGTTAGAGGCATTATCAACTTTATACGTCGTGATGAACACAGTACTTGACAGTCCGACAGTTATATTTGAATCCAATATAGCAGGCGCCGTCCCTTGGGTAAATTTTGGTTTGGTATTGAAGTATTCATTACTTACAAATATCAATTTACAAAGTTTTATTAATAGCGGATCCGAATTCGTCACTTGAAGTGTAAGTAGGCTAATAAGGGACCCGGCCAGGCTGCTCTCTTATAACCTTTACAATAAGAGACCTAAATTGCGAGCAATGGATACACTAGACTCCATTACTATCAACACCCCGGGGGGGTGTTGGTAAGAGTAACTAGTCCATCGTGACGAATTCACCATTAATTTATTATGGTGGTTACCAGGGGGACATCGCGTTGACCTGTTTGTTCTTTTAAGATATAAAGCAATGGGAATATTGGTTCCTATATTATTACCAATTCCTTTCCCTAAACATTTAATAACCAGATGTTAGTTCCTGGCATAGCAAATATCATTACGTGTCAGATAATGTAATTTGCTGTTCATACTGAGAGGGTTCCTTTGCCGGATCTGTAATCAGTGTAATTTCCTCACAACAACGACGAGATTTGCTTGACAGAGGACAGTACTCGCTGAATTATTACTCTGTATCAAGACAATAGTGATATCCATATCATGACCTATTTAAGTATTATGTCTACGCATGCCAACAGTACGAGAAACCTCGTACAAATAAGAGAGCTAAACGAGAAACGAGTACGAAGCAAAATATTTTAATATTGACAGTGTGCTAATAGTTTGTTAATTTTAACTATCATAGCTCGTCACAAGCATGGCAAACCTCAACAAATCGTCACAAATTCAAGAATGTGGATAGAGTGGCTTGCTTTACAAGTGCTTGTAGCCGTTCCGATACATGCATTTTACAGCTGAAGCGCTCATTAATAAGCCATATTTTACGGATTTAGGAATTATAAATCTTTACTAAGGTATATTAAAAGACTACGTTATCTATGTCATATTTTCTATTATATAGTCTATAGTTACTATGGTAATCTTTGCTTTTCGTCTATTAATTTAATTAATTATGATATTCTTCTAAAATAATAAAAGTAAAAAACTTTACTATGAAAAGAGTCATAGTTTGTTAATTAATGTAATATATAGAATGATTACAAATTTTCTAATCGAAATTTTTAATTTAACGGCACGTACGGTAATATTATTATACATTTTGAGGATTAAATGCTTTTGTGTTGAATTTATATTTACGAGGTTACGACGTAATGAAACGAAGGACCTAATGTATGTAAGTACCTATACATACACGTTTAGGTTAGAGGTGAAAATGTTCTTCAGAACACTGACTTTGGAGGTATTCTCCAGTTTGTGTTAAACTTGAATGTCATTTGTAATAGTTTAGGTTTTAGGCAAAATAATAATACTACAACTTCGGGTAAAATAATATGTAGGTACTAAACAGTAAAAACCGTTTGCTTAAATGAAGTCAAATGTTCTTTCAGTTAATGCAAGTAGCTTTACTTAAAAATATCAATTATTTGAATTGAAGTAAGTTCCATTAACTTCAGTAGACTGTTTTTAACATGTATCTAGTATATATTGCAATTTTGTAGTTTTTTTTAGAATTATGAATTCATTCAATACTTAACGTTTAATACGAGACTTAGTAAACTCATAAGTAAATAAATCCGAATCATCCGAAAGTCTTCTTCAGGGTGATTATGGTGTATCTCGCCTGGACTGTAGGTACTATGGATGAAGTCGAAGTAATTGTTGCGACAGACGAAAATATAGAAAGTCAATAAATTCCCGTACACACTTAAAAATATTAGATATTTATATAGAATATTAATTGATCATTTAATTGAATTTGTTGTAATGTGATGAAAGTATAGAAAAAGGCGATTTCTTCTCTTGTATATACACACATTTATTCTAATTCAGTTATTTTTACCGTTCGTAAAAACATATGGCATATTGTGTGGGTGAAATTGATTCGTTTAGCATCAATATCTCAAACCTTTTTATAACTTCTATTTAGTATTTTTCACTTACATATACCTACTTACTATAGATTATTATATTACAAATGTTTCAGTTGATTTAGTTTAATTAAGATATTTTGACATATCTAAATTTCGTCACAAAAGGAGTTCATGTATTTTTACATTTTTATAAAGGAAAACTATATCATGCTTACTATAGAATTGAATATTATATGTATAGTTACAATAATCATTAAAGGTGATGGAGTAAAGGAGTTCTTGGAGAATGCGACGGTCAAAGGGTATAGTTAAATAAAAAAATTACTACAGATGTACATATAATATAAAGCTAATAGAATATAATTGTGAAATTTCTACTGATTGACTATAGATGTAAAGTCATCAGACCTTTTAAAAATTCAATTTTGAAAGTCTATAGTTATAGTTAGTTCAATTTTGAATGTTTATCATATCTAAATTTCGTCACAAAAGGAGTTCATGTACCCTTTGATTTACCTACGGTTAGATTTTTATAAAGGAAAACTATATCATGAATATTAATATTATATGTATAGTTACTCAATAATCATTAAGAGGTGATGGAGTAAAGAGGAATTCTTCGGAGAATGCGACGGTCAAAGGGTATAGTTAAATAAAAAAATTACTACAGATGTACATATAATATAAAGCTAATAGAATATAATTGTGAAATTTCTACTGATTGACTATAGATGTAAAGTCATCAGACCTTTTAAAAATTCAATTTTGAAAGTCACTGTTATGAACCTCACTGACTTTTGTAGATATATATTTTTCAGTAGTACAATTTCTTTTAATTTATGACAATGGAATGATTCCGTCTATAGCCGCTATTGGTTTATGTTGGCGTGGCTCCAGAGGAGGATGATAAGATATGCATGAGACGTCAGGTCAGAAAACCCATAGTGGCAAATTCACCTGGAATTTATCACGATGGTTTACAGGGGGAACCATGTGGAGGTCAACCTGACATTGTACATGGCTAGCAATGTGGGGTGAAGGAGATTATTAGTAATGTAGACTAATGAGTCTACATTAAATACATAAATGACGTTAAATAAAGAAGAATAACCGTAACTTTTAGTTAACACGACGAATTATAAAAAAATAATAAATAATGGTTTTTGTCTAAATCCATATTTATATCTCTAATATTTGAAGATACTAAAAAGTCGCTGTTTTCGTTCGTTTTTGTTATTAGATACTCGCTTTTAAGCCACGGAAAGTATTTTGATGCCGTTTTTACTATCATTTCGAGAATTTCTTTCTCGAGGTTTATGTATCTAAAATTTACTTAGTGAAATTATGAGCCAATCAAACTTAATTATTAATCAGAAATGTTGGACTTTTACATAAGCGATGTTGGTTTAGTTTACGTCTTTCTACTATGTTACAAACTTACAGCGATCGAAAACATAAAAGGGATAGATAGCATTAGTGATTAGCTCAGGATTTGGTCTTAAGTTTGCTACAATGTACGTATATAATGTTAACCTAGATACATGTCAATGTTAGCCAGTGTGACTAATATGGACTAGGTACTTTATATTTAATTATTATATAGAAAGATCTATTTTCCTGGTACGTACTATAAAAGTTAAAATTACAACAAACCAATGTAATAATATCGTAGTTCGTATTTTTTTTTATAAATGCATATTAATATACATCATCTGCTTCTTCCTTATCCCATTTATTTGGGGTAGGCGTAATATGTTTTTCGCTTCCATTCGTCCCTGTTCACAGTCATCGCGTTATTGCAATTATTTAATGCAACTTAATATACATATGTTAATAAAGATCTATCTCTATTTCTATGCATAATGGAGTCCATTATGCATAGCAACAGATATAGATTCTTCCGTTTCTTAACATAAGTTATCACTTGTAAAATTACGCAATATCTTGTTTTTCCATAACAATTTAGCTAGTAGGTACAATTTCAAAATCAAATCAGTAAAGCTTTTGTTAATTACCGAAATTACATTTGAATTAGCCATTGCTTATTTATATATATTGAAGTTTAGTAATAAAGTGCAATAAATAAACGAAATGGAAAATGGACTTTAAGGATAAAAATTTAAGAGCCTATTTCCTAATCTTGTTTTATTTGGTGTAATTTACAATTAAGTTACGAAGAAATGATTAGTGTTAGAAATGACTAGTGACGTTTTTAAAACCTTATATTATAAAGGTGATAAACAGACTGCATTTGGGGAAAGTCTCGCAGGTTTTAGTGCTGTTCGAACAAAAAATAGCTTCTTTAAACCAATTGGCAATTCGTAGCTTTTAACAAGAAGGTGGGTGCGGCGTCCTAAATATAATATTAATGAGTTGCTATTTTTTACATTTAGTACAGATAACAAATGTTGCTCTTAACTCCTACTTATACTATGTCACATAGTATATTGTTTTAGATAATACAAATCCGGTTAAGACCGCACCGGTGCGCAGAGTTCCGTAGGAGAATTTAAAATGTTGAATTGTACTCTATTTTGTTTATCTATCTCAAGAAGTAATGTAAACTCCTTAAAACAGTTGCGAATTACTGTGTTTACAAAGAATTCAAAATATATTATATTACAATGGTGGCAAACGAACATACTATCCTTCTGATAGTAAACGGTTACCATAGTCCATGACTGATCCACTTTATCACGCAGGTGTTACTGATCCAATACTTTCCCGATTTGTTTACAACAAAAAAAGTTTGCCAAGATACATATTTCCAGAAAGAGATAAATAGTGAAAGATTCTTACGAGTCATTCGGGCCGTTTTAGCCAATGGTTACGGAACTCCAAAAACATCAATAACAATACACGTAAGATATATTTTAAGTCGTTATCGACATTATTCGCTGATATTCACAAAATAAAATGATAGTACGCGAATGTGTAAAATTGTGATTTATTAGCATAACATACATTTTATTGCTAAAAACGCAACTATAGTGAAATTTGAAATTGGCATATACTAGAATAATCTTGTTTACAAACCTTCTCCACTCTGTGGCATCGGAACGTCCGTCGTTTCCTGTGGGCTCCTTTGTGAATATCCAGGGTAAGAAGTCGTCGGGGGCTTGTCCCAACTGTGGAACTGCTGCGCGGGTGTCATGAATTGAGGTGCTCCAGAGAAACCCATTATACCCATATCCTGAGTAGACATATTCTCGTAGCCAAATACCGGCATCTTCCGTCAGCCACGTGACGATGTATTGCCACTTGCTATAATCTAGTACTGACAGCAACAACCAACACGAGGCCTCGATAGCGTCGTGGCGTTGTTGATAAACTCCCACATTAGCCTGCAGGTGATTTAATTTGCCCAAAATAAATGTAATCGCACAATCTTTATCTATTTTGATTAACACACGTAATGTCACTGTATTGTTTATGCGAATCACAACAAGCGAGAAGCGTTGCCGAGGTGCGACCGATGTCAGTAACTGCACGTCTTCCGGGTAATGTTTTCGTTTTTATCATTAATCGTGTAGTAACGAGTTCGCGATAGTGTTGTTTGCTGAGAGCCACGCCGGTTTCGGGTGGCGAGCATCGGTTTGTTTTGCGGCGGCCTTCTCCGTACGCGCTGCGCCTTCGACTGGCGGACGAGTATTGACCACAATGCTTAACAACATCCGTTTCAGTGACAACTCGCTGAGTGCGCGATTACGGGCCGTATGAATGACCCGTCCGATATTAACAGATCAGCAGGAGCGAGGAGTGCAGCGCTGGTCGCTGCTAGCCCACAGAGCTGACTCATCCGTTATCGGAAATGCAGCGGATGTATCGAATGTGCCTATATCAAACGACTCATTAGCAGCTGACGAGCGAAGCTTTTACCATAAACATCATATTATAGTATTAAACAATACGTGTTAGGTGACTAATTGATTGTCTCATACTCTTTGTCTCTTTGTTACTAAGCAAGTTGTCTCTTATTACCATTATTTGTTGTGATGTTTACATAGGATTCAAAATGACTATTATTCTAATTATAAAAGGCACGGATGTATTGCAAAATATCTATAGTTGTATGAACGATATGTGTTCTAATGCTTGGGAGCTGTATTTTAAGGAATGTATTTTTCACAGCTGTTCCGTAAAACACCTTATTAGCGGTACGTACAGCCGTTCGGCGGACTGCCATGTCGTCGGAAACCAATAAACTAAGATACTAAAGGTAGAAGATGGGTAACAATACGCATAAAAATACAATAATATATTTTATATTTTCCCACATTAAACAAAACAGTTGTATTTCACACTCAGTAAGTAAGTAAAATTAAAATAATAGACTTCTAGCCATAATGTATGAGGTAGGTATGAGTTTTGTTGTGTGGTTATATCTAGATGAAAACAAAAAACGTCAACTGAAAATGCAGAGAATTTTATTCTCTAATGATCTTATGAATAATTAATGTCAAATCACAGTGAAATTTGTTAATTAGCATATTTATCTATATTAGATAACAGTAATCATTGTTACAATGGACCATAACAACGTAATTACCTACATAAAGGCTTAAAAAAGTATAAATAATGATGCTGTTTTGTATCTTGTTATCTACGGATCAATAATTGTGCATAATGAAATGTCCATATCATTTAGTTATTAAGTATAAAGATATTACGGTATTGCTAGAGTACAAATTGACCGGCCGGGAAAAGAGTGATGTCATTCTCGTAAACAAATTCAAATAAATTTAATTTTAAGAACAGAATGCAGATGTGAACAAGATAGTATAACTTAAAAGATAGAGCATGGCAAATATCACGAAGTAATAGATCTGCCACAAGCACTTCACATTGATGCCTCGCTACAGTCAAAAGTGGCCACAGAAATTAACGTAATTCCATTTAAAACTTTTTAAATAATAGTAGTTAAAGGGGAAGACTACAATAAAATGTGACATTGTGTCACAAGGGTTAAGAGGAGGCAACAGTTTTTTTGACGTCACTTTTTAATGGTAATACAACTAATTCAGGAACTGTTATTAGGAATTTAGGAACTGCTGTTTATTTGTTACCTTTTTTTGTAAAATATGCCACGTCACACTAGTTAGGGGGAAATGTCACAAACGTGACCAAGTGTGACAAAGTCGATTGGTGGAGTAAAACAATTTGAAATTTATATGACGCAAGTTATTGATGGATTCTTATAATAAAATCATAATAACTATATTTCTTGCGGCGAGGGAACAAAAAATCAAGTGGTCCTGGTTAAAGGTTGGGAAACACTGCGCTAAATGCTGCGAGCTGAGCACATCTATCATCATCATATGTCTATATAGATATTGTATATTGCATAGCTCCAGTCTTTGTTTGGTTGTTGAGATATAAGATACAAACAGTGTCGGGCCGCGCTATCAGTAGGGGCGGCGCGGCGGGCCACCTCGGGTCACTCGTGTATTGCGTATCTGGTGCCCTCTCATACACACAATCTCTGCACTATCCACTGTTGTACATAATTATAATTTACAAGCAAAAATAGGGTTCAGTTACAGTTAGGTAGTTGGGATTCCCAACCATATGGTAAACCTTAGCTTAATTAAAAAATACACTATTAATTGATATAATTAGGGGCACGAACATATAATATTACTAAAATATGTAAATATTATATTTATATTTGCAGGAATGGTCTGTTTCTATTGATAAAGTAAGGTTCAAGATCACAATTTTTTGCATAATGTGTTATTACTATCAGGCGCAATACTATTGGAATATGCCTATGTTCAGCAGTGGACTGCAGTAGGTGTTCAAGATACAAGAATATAATTTTTTATTTATTAGTATTTAATCTCATCTTTTCATTTCATTTCAAATAAATACTTTCCACGTGGAACAGGGCACCAAGGTTTCATCGTGCATTCTATAATCACGTAAATTTATAAAGGAAATTCCCACTGGAAAACCGGTTAAAGTTCACAACTGGTATTACTATTGAGAAACTCTGACTGACATATTTTCATAAAGTTCGGTTTACACAATATCAGATGCAAGATATGACATGTTAGATCAGCAGGTCTACTCTGGATCTATTCTCAATGTCGATTTCAATTCAATCCAGTTTTGTACTGTACACGTGTACGTGTTTATACATATAATAATCAAGACTAAACCGAATAAATTAATACCAATGTCACTTAGGTCCTTCATTGACTAGGAAAAGTGAAATTAATGTGTTGCTCGTGTGTAATTGATGAGTATAAAAATGTGCAAAACGGCGCAATCCAATACCATCGGATCAAATTATCGGTATATATCAGTCGGTGAGATTCAGCAAACTTTTTGAGAAAGAATCGTTCTATATAGGTTGAAAAATAACTAAGAGTCTAAAGACAATCGTGAAGTAAGTATAAAATAAATGGACATCTTAAAACTTTATCTACATAAAAAATGTGTAAGCGAATAATAGTGCTTGAAAAAAATGGTATAAAGGCATCTATAAATAAATAAAAAGTTCTTATGAATCAGTAGTCGGCTCAGAATTATAATAGGTACTTTAATAAGTAGCCTTACTCAGGAAATAGTATGTTGAGGTAGAGGTATGCAGGTATGAGGTATTCATTTAACAGTTATTTAATCTTCAAGGCAAACGAGCAAAACCCGATTTTAAGTAGGGTCTTCTAGGGTGTTACGATGTAGTCAGAGCATAAAATATTATTTAAAAAAAAACACTGACAAACATTTTTTCCGTTTTCATACCGCTTTGAAAAACAAGACACTTATACATAAGTGTACATCGTTTTTTATATTTTATATTATGTGACAATTTCAGGTTTTATATACCTTGATTCTTCCTTAATATTTTTTTTTTAAAACAACTGTTTAATTAATGATTTTTCTAGGGTCATTGGATCAGCAGCGAAATACTTAGGTTTAGAAATATTGGTTTAATTATAAGATAAAATTATTATATACAAAACTATATAAATAACGGGGCTATAATTTTATTAATACAATTTCCTTGTGGGGGATACCTATACCCAGCGGAGAGACGATGATGTTATTGTGATAAATACTGATAATAAATATCCCCTGGTCATAGCATCTATATATCACGAACATCAGAAATTACTTGGATACAGGCAGATAATAAATACAAGGAAAATCCGCAAAGCATGTTTCTTATAAAGATTACATGTGGTTGAAATTATAGCTACGTTAATCAATTAAGAAAAGCATGTTTCCAAAAGCGATTATTAGCAATGAAATCTACAACAAAAACAACCACGTATATACAGTATGTATTATGAAATATATAGTTACTAGTTAAAATTACACAACTTAGTGTAAGTTCACATAATTTCCAAAAAAGAAAGGGCTTACCATTGCGAAAATCTATTCATGATGACTAGGGCCCTCATAGGACACTGCATATTTAACAAACATATGGCAAATATAGGCCTGCGCAGAACAAAAATTTGTAGATTTTGTCAAACAGAAGAAGAAACGCCACTACACATCCTATGTGGTTGTAGCCCACTCATGTATAAACGTAATATCTCCTCTATAAAGTTTACACTCTATCCAGAGGAGATAAAAACCATCGCTCCTAAGAATATCTGACGGTTCTAGGTAGCGAACTCTGAAAAAGCGCGAGGACAATAGATCTATGTAGGTGGCAGTGCTACAGGTCCAAGCACCTGACAATAGCTAAACAACCCAATAAAAAAGTAACTATTGAAGAACTCTCCTCATAGCTAAATCCTATTAACAAACTTTACCTGACATCTAATCTACAGTAGAAGTAATTGTATAAGTATGAATTCCTCATTTTAATTCCTTAGATTATTTTGTGGTCTAAGTATTCCGTTCTTCTGGGATCTTCGATTCGTTCTGACAGACATAGCCGCGAGCAACAATTAGTATAAACAATTAAAAAAAAATGTTGATATTGTACTTGTATTCTTTATTATTTTATACGTTACACATTGGCATATTAAGTTGTAACATTGCATTAATAATTAAATAAATTTAATTTCTTACATATTCATCAGAATATTGTATTTATTACATCTTTTCAGATTCACAATTTCATACACCGCTCAATCATAAATGTTTCTATGATCTGATTGAGAATCAAACTCGGGGCATGGTATATACTAAACCAAATTGACAACACTCATGCTAAGAACAGTTAAATATATCCAGTAAATAAATCATTCTGTGCCTCCGTCAAAACGAGTACATAAATAACAGGTTTGGTAACAACAACAGTCATCAAGTCATTGCTGTGTTGACGTCAAACGCATAAGGCGGTAGGTAGAATTTTATAATAATTTATGTGTGTGTAATGGCCATGACGTCTCCATAACCTAGACCTTGACATCGAGTTGTCAAAAATAAGTACCGCCGAGGAAAACAGGTTGCCGTATGTGTACATAGCATATTAGGTACTTGTGAAATATATCTGTTAATCATATTCAGATAATATCAAGGCGCATTTATATAGTAAGAAGTCGTCCGTGTTACATTAGGCTCACCTATTTCAGCCACCAAGCAACTTTATTTGTAAACTATGTTTCGGTTGAAAGTGCAATTATTATAATCTCATTACAATTATCACAGTGCCATCTAGTCCCAACCAAACAGTGCTTGTATTATGGGTACTGGATAACTCAGATAAATAAATAGATATATTTTTTTCGTGAATA